TAAGTTGGCCTCATTGATAGGTCTTTACATTTGCTTCCCACTCTATATATCTATATGCATATATTCATAATCAACGTTTTTGGGTTTAGATCGCGTTATTTAGAAATGTGTCGTAACCCTCCACCACCCGACACGGCCAATCAGTGAAAAAGTGTCACGTTGACAAAAGACAAATAGTTCACTGCTTTAGCCCACCGGTGTATTGAAGCGTGAAACCACAACATTTACAATTTTTGAGTAAGACGTTTCGCCGGTAATTGCATCCAGCATCATTGGGCAATTCGCATATAGCCTGCCGCTATGCAGTTCTAGAGAAAGTTTATCTCGTGTGGAAAACAAACTTGCGGCCCTTGTCACCAGTAGCATAAATGTGGGGTCTTGTGGAACGTGTGTGAGAAGGCCTCAAATCACGGCCGACCTGTAATGGTCATCGAACACCACCTGGCTTTAATGAAGGCACTTCCATTTTTCCATTAGTAGGAAATTGGCTAATTCCGTAATTGAACTTAAATTGGGTGAAGGGTGAGGTTAATATTATTTTTCCGGTGATTGTTGTTCCCGATTATATAAAAAAAAAACAAATTTACGGGCAGTCAATTTCAATCCGCTAGCTCAGCCAGAGGAATAGATAAATAGATACATTGTATACGTCGGCACAATTGTGATTCGTAATCAGTTTCTTTTTGGGCAAGATCGTGTAAGCATAATGTCAAACTGGAATGTTTAAAAGTAGGCACAATAAAAAAATAGCATTTTTCTGAAAATCCAAATCAATTGCCATATTTACCCACACGACAACTAGATAACTAGATTTAAATCCGTGGTGGAGAGTTATAGTTAAAATAAAATGACATTATGCCTACTAGACGATCTAACCCAAAATAAACTAATCATGAATCAGATAAATATGCAATTTTTGTCCAAACAAAAGAACGAGATAGAGGTAGGGGACACATTCGTTTTATGTTATCACCAAATTTAGGCTGCCTTTCCAGTCCATTGCTAACGTCACTTGATCATCTTGTCACTGAGGGCAGCAAGGGTGCTCGTATGACCGAGATGATGGATTGCTGGCACGGTGGCACACCCGGGCAAGTGTGTTGTCGCAGTCTCACTCAAGCCGAAGAGAAACCAAAGTTATTTCGTCTTCACCTATCTGTCTCGGTGAAACCATAGTCACGATGTTAAACTCTTGAGAGATACGTGTGACACTGAGAACAGTTCTATGAATCGATGTCATCCACAGCACTTCAAGTGTCACTCAAATGGCTGCGTGGTAAAGGTCCGATGACGTAATGTGCCGTGAAGTGTTTTTTTTATAACAAGATTCTGTCGCAGTGTTGTATCTGTACATTGCTTAAATCTTGACTTAAAGCTTTCGTGACTGTAGGAATTCATATTCTTGGGGTCTTTCGGTAAAGTCACGTAGATAGGTTCAAAGAAAAGAAGAAAAAACTACGACGTTTCGATCGCAACACAAGCGGTCGTCATTGATTGAATGAAATGCTATTTTCATTTCCATCACCACCTACACATTGTAAAATACGACTACTATTACTGGTAATTTATTTTACCAGGTATTGCCGACTAAGCTATTAGCTCTTGTTCAGATGGGGCCTGTCCACACGTGATAGCCAATTGAAGTGGCTTATATCATCACACGTGGGAATTTATCAAATTATCTAAATTCTCTTCATGATGGCAATAATCACACACATACGCATGCGTTTGATCCACTTGAGAAGAAGCGCACGTTATTCAAATATTTTGAAATGACTTAGCAGGGCGTGGGGGACATGGTGGTATGAGCTTGTTGCACAGGATGAGCTGCGATAAGCACCACGTGGAAGGTGGTGGCTCTGTTATGTGTGAACCCTGCATTGCGTTTGTTTTCTCTTGGTCTTCAAGTTGCTCCCCATTTGCGGTTCTGGCTTTGAGTTTTCATCTTGTAATTTCACCGTGCAATTAAAAGTCATTACTTTGACTCCCTAGCAAAAAGAGCTTTTTTTCTGTAAACAAAAAAAAATATTCATATCATTTAAAAGTGCACTTCTCCTCAGATTCTTAAAGGTACGTTTAGTGAAATAAGTGATACTGTCATATTAAGTACTGTATATGCAGAAGTAATACATACATAATGCGTAACATCAATAACATTTTTATGTAACATTTCCCACACAATGTGTATGTGTTAGCTGTTGGGAGTTGTTATGCGCGGTTTTAATTTGTGCATGGATGGAGTGTAAAAAAATAAAAGTTCCCATGCCTTACACCAACATGATGTTGGCAACATGTATTGGGGAGTAGTAGCTCACCGTACCTCGGTGAACTTTGTTATTCATTCAACAATTTGGTGCTGATGTAGGAAGGCGGGGGGCGGGGGGGGCTTTGAGAGGGGACAAACCTTGCTTAGCGATCGCTTTACTCTCTCCGAGTGAAATGAAACCGACGTAGAGGAGGCAGCGAGGGTGGTGATTGATGCAGGAGCCGATAGGCAAAAACCCAACTGAAAACAAAGTGGATTTTCGTTTCAAAGGCATGGAGAATTTGAAATGTTTGTGGTTTTAGGGGCATATTGAATACCCAGCTGCTGTCTCTGCCTTTGCACGGCAAATAGCTATGCATCTAACGTGAGTTATACAACATAACATTTTTTTTGAAAGCACACAACTTTGCAGGCTGACAATGGCGCAATCCTGTGGCTAAGTTGACGCTCCATTGCCTTACAAATGGATGTGTTTTTAAAGGCAATAAAAATGGTGCTTGCTCTGTTGTAATGTCAATCAGCAATGTTGCGTGGGGAATGGCAATCTCTTGAGAAATGCCACGGGGTTTTTTTGTACGGCTTTTACCCGAAAAGAAGATAAAGCACATGGTGAGTAACGTAATAGGGCAAATGTATTTGTATTATTGGGTGGGTCCCGTTTTAAACATGAATGAGAAAAGTGTCTAGTTTGTAGTTTTCCGTGTGACAGCTGCCTGATGGAGGAATGAGCTCTCATTTTCTCATGGTTAAAATGCACTCCATCTGCTAACGAGATCAGACTAACATTTGTCCCATTTACAATACCAAAAAACAATTCCCAGGCCGTTCAGGAAGTCCTTGCAAATGTTGTAATTGCGATAAATTGCAAGTCGGCTAATCATTTTAAATACGAAAATAAGCAATGATGGGATAGGAGGAAGAGGAAACACGTTTGCTCCTCGGATCCGTATGGATTGTTATACGATGCAAAGTTGCACTGAAACATGTGTGATCCATAAGAGCCATAGCAAAAAAGGATGTCTCTTAACTGGCGCCAGTTGAAACAGCAATCTACCATTATTCAGCACATCCTAAGGATACACAATAGCGAGCATTAAATGACACTGGAGTAGTGGATTAGCGCAAGACGACTATATAAGTTAGACTAAAGAATGCACACGATTGGAATGGGCTTTAGCAGGTTTTCAGATTCAATTACTCGCATTCCACATGCACTTACTGAGAGTAGGCAAGCTCTTCATAGTGTTTCTCTTATTTTTTTGGTGTATGGTGACTGACCTATCTACGTTAAATTGTCATTTAATTGCTGTCATCTGCACTGCTGTCAGGGAGATTGTTTTCGTTATAATTTTTTTTACGCGTATATGACATTATCATCTGGCATAACTCCATTAAGATCCACAAATCAAATGTTTACAGGCATACATTTCATTTAATAAGCGATGAGGTCAAGAGTGAAAATTAACATTTTGATGGACGGTTTTGCTTTCTGTGCGAGTTACTGTTCTGCCCCATCACAAATTCGAATGGTAACGACTGGAGCGTTTGTGCCGATTCTCTCGTAGTTCAAGCCCAAGAGAGAATTGTTGGCAGCTCCTTGGCAGCCCCAACTGCGTGTGCTTTCGGATGTCCCAGAGCGGCCTCGGTGTGTGGCATCGGATTTCCACTCTCCTCCCCATGGCATCTCATTCTTGACCTTTCCCTGTCTTTGGGCTATTAGTGCGTCAGCATGGCTGGATGACGGTGCTGTAAGACTGACACGGATCCAGCAACGGCAACAAAAAAGTAATTCACGGCTCATTATTGAAATGTTCACAGTTTATTTGAAAAGTCGTTTCGTTTTGGACGTTTATATTTCTTGAAGTTTTTTTTGTGGGGGTGGTTTGGGGGGGGGTGGGGTTAAGGCCAACCTTAAATAAACAAAAAAACCATTAGCATTCTTCATTTTAATAACATACCATTTATATTTCAGCAAGACAATTGTGGTTGGGTTTTTAACTATGTGGATGGTATTGTGAAGCCACCCTCTGCCTATTCATCTGTGACCTGTTGTTTCCAGGATTAGTGTTTTTCTTGAATGCTACCCGCCCCCTCCACTGTGGGGTTTGACCTGGAAATGAATGCTTACGATCGGTTTATTTAAAAGGAACGTTGGCAAACAAACAGCTTCTGAAATCAAAGGGTTGACTGCACGGGAGCATTTTAAAACACTGCAGACATTCCGAAGCAAGCAGGACCAGAATTAACTCGGCCGGTAGCTAATGTGTGGGTGTTGTACGTCTGGCGCTATGGCAAATTCTGTTCCCACGTTCCACCCCAGGGCCGACGCCCTCTTTCCTTAGCTAACATTTTTGGTGGGAGTTTTACACTTAATTTGTTGTGCATAGGTACTCGGTAACGTACATTGATATGGTACGCGACTACTGTTACGTTTGGAAAAATCTGTACGTAAATACTGCAAGGGAAATTGAACAGATCGGTTGATTTTATCTCCGATGGGATTTTGGGGGTTGTACCTCGTGGCGTTTGGCATGATGTTCGACATTTATCGTTGCACGTGGTGAGAGTTATTTCAGAAACTGAATGAAATTGGGCCAAACGTCAGACATCGTGCCGCGTAAAACACGCGGTCAGAGCGCTATACAGAGCAGCAACGGAAACCTCTTGCGGTAAATCGGTTGCATTCTTTGCGAACTGCTGAACGACATTATTGCGGTTCGAGATGAATAGTAAAATTGCTACAGCCATACAGAAAGTGCACGAACACATACATTTTTGTTATACACATGGATATGTGGCAGTACAAATTATACCAGACAATTGTTTGTTTGTAAAAAATAATTTATTAATGCAATGAAACTCATCAGTACTTCGTTTGCCTCAAATCTACGAATGACATGCCCACATTTTAGTATAACTTACTTTATGCATAAAAGTTCTATATTTTGTTGTATAGTTAAAAAAGAAGAGAACAGCATTCAGGCCCTTAAAAGATATGCAATTTACACGTTACAAGCTTCAATGACACTGAACGATATAAAGATCAAACATTGCAGGCATGCTGCATTCAATGAGATGCAACCCTTGTTCACAAGGGTTTTTCAAGGCGAATTTGTAACATAAATGATTATATTATAGCCTAATTTAAACAGCGTTGATCTCTTTCATATTATAATTTGTTTGAAATCTGGTAGAACTTGCTGTGACAATTTTTGATCTAAACGTTTTGCTCGGGGTATAACATAGAAAGCTGCTGAAATATTACATTTTATGCTGCAGCTTTTTGAAGTACTGAATTCAAATGCTTTTTTGCATTTTAATATAACATGGAAAAAATATGAACACCTTTGATTTCAGTAATCGGCTAACTACAAATACACAGATTAAACCGATACATTTGTATGCAGTCTTAACATTTCAAGTCTAAAAGTTAGGTTGACACAATACAGTGTACTATGTATATAATGAGGCACCTCCATTTTAATACACCTGCTCAAAAATGATTGAAACGAGTTTTCAAAATGTCTGTCCGAGTTGGTGAAATGTATATTTTCTCCAAGTAGTAGAATCGTATTTTTCTTTTATGTAGAACAATTAATCTTCATACTACTTGTTGTTTTCTTTTAATACAGGTCGTCGTCCTCCTGCGCATGGTGGAGAGTGGTGACCAGTAATTGGTTTTATGTTAATGTCTAGGCAGTTGAGCCATGTAGTGGCTGCAAGAGTGATGTTGTGGGTTGTGGATGTCTGTGATGCTGATGTGACTGGTGGAAGTGGGCAGTGCCTCGGACAATGTGGTCCAAGGTTCGGCTTTGGCTTATGCAAATCGCAAACCTGGATCTTCTTCTAGATTTGAAGCTTTCGTGACTGCAAGTATTCATATTCTTAGGTTTTTTCGGTAAAGTCACGTAGGTAAAAAAATTAAATTAATGGATCTTCTTTTCATTCTCCACTGGTGTAGGAGGTGGCCACATAGACCACCTGGCCACATCTCTCAATAATTGGTGACAAAAATGTATTCCGAAATGATTGTCTGCGTCCGCTCAAAATCCAGAATGCATGGTGAAACACTGGTGTTGCGAGTAAACAGAATATCAACACGCTGTACGTTACTAACGTTAAAATCCATGGAAATATCCAGTGTTGCGTAGAATTTTACACATGCAGGCAACTCTTGTTGATTTTCTTTGGGAATAGAAACTCTTTGGCAGCAGGCTTCATTCAGAGCTACGGTTACATATTACGGTTGCTTGTTTAAAATTGCTATACACATTAAATATATTTATAAAACTAAACATAACAAATATAAAATAGCTTCACGAATCCATAGCTAGCCCTGGTGGTGATAATTTATTCTATCAACATAATAATTGGCATTTAACAACAGTTCATTGTGCTTGAACAGTGTCATGTTTTCTGTGGGATCTGGAATTTTTTTATTTACACTGTTTATATATACACATTCAAATCATATCAATATAATGCAAGCTTGGTCCGTGTGCATTTGTGAGCTTTGTACCATTGTTCAGAAAAGATGTGAACACGTGACCTTGTGCCCCCACCGTTCCTACCGTGGCATTCCCCTGGCCCCTTCTCTACAGGATGTTTTTCTAACCGTAAAGAAAAAAAAAACATACCTTTAAAACACACCCCCGTGCCCCCTTAATTCTTAAACTTCCATTACCTACGGTAGTAGACAGGGCAACTCCCTATTCAGCATGCTGGGTTTGCACCTGGCAATTGTGATGATTTAAGGTCCAGCCACGATAAGCAAGCTGGATTAGGGGCTAACCCTGGTCAGCACGGTAGGATCCGTGGGGCATCTGCGCTGAGCTTGCCGGATTACTGTGCCATTCCCAACGTGGTGGTGGTGGTGGTGAATGCCGCGCCACTGCTTTAGCTGGCTGGACGCTGCGTGTGCGGCCGCGCCACGAGGCCTGGCTGGAGGGAGGCGAGCGGGGCGTCGGGGTGGCGCCGGTTGCGGCTTTTGCGCAGCTCCAGGGTGTGCTTCCACTTGTGGGTGGGACGGTGCGGCCTCCCCGGCGGTCGCTGCTCCCTCTGCCAGAGCCTCTCGCAGTATTCCTCCAGTGGCGGCAGGCCGTGGCGCAGCTGTGCGAACTCTGCAGGGCACACACGGGTCGCGGTGAGCGCTTTTGTTTACTCGCGCCGCTGCTGCTGCTGCTGGAAGGGAGCTCCCTGCTCCTCGAGGCAGCTCGAGGAGGGAGCTCCCTCCTTGAGCAGGGGTCGGCAACCAAATAACAAGAGCGATGATTTTCAAATTAGGTATAAAAATAAATTAACCCGTAAAAACAAAGTTTTTCACTATAAATCCTTTATATGCGTGGCGGCTAGAGTCCTCTAGTCCTCTGGCTTGAGATGGCTGCCACCTATGGGTCAGATGATTGCCTGCCACCATTAAGCAATTGGTAATTAAATCTAAAAAAAAATTCCTAAAAAGTGTAAAATTTTGGAAAAAAGAATTTCACGAAAATAAATTGTCACGCACAACGAGTGTGCAAAATGTCAGCTCGATTGGATCACGGGAAGTGGGTTAAAAAACGACCGAAAGATTTGCACGGTCGTAAGCGCGCAAGCAAGCAAGCAAGTGAACTTAATATAAAGGATTAAAAACGTAACGTTTCAAGAGTCGAAATGTGTGAATACGAGACGGTGGTCCTTTTAATAAATGTCACGAAACAGTCCTTAAAGAGCCGCGTGCGGCTCGAGAGGCGAGCCCTGCTCGAGAGGGTATCCGGCCAACTCGTCAGATATCTTTGAAGAGATGGGAGTAGCCACGCTATGGCTCATCTCATGCGACTTGCCGATAGACTAACTGTGGTGTGCACCAGTTTCCTGCTGGGTGGATAGAGGTGGGCGGCGGGGGGGGGGTTAAGAAACTTGCCCCATTGTTTCAACTGCCACATGAGTAGAATTATCTTGGTGACCTCTGAATTAAAAGTACAATGTGTTAGCCATTACACCAAGCAGAATGATTTTAATGAAGAAAAAATACTAATTATTTACCTACGTATGCCCCAAATGAGTCTCAATACCGTTTCTAAGGAAGGTCAGGCAGTGGGATGTTGGACCAATAACATCGAATGAGTGTTTGGCTTCATGTGGGTGGAAAACAGAGTGACTGAAAAACATCGCATGCAGCACACTGCCTGGCCACCTTGCAGTCCCCGACCTACAACAGCGGACAAGCCCTGTTGGTCACCCATCCAAGTACTAACCAGACTCAACCCTGCTTCCCTGCTTCACTTCTGAAATCCTATTAACTAAGGGCACATTCGGGCACATTGATGTACGGTGATTTTTCTGCAATATTTTGCTGTCTTTTTTGGATTTTCTGTTTGCACAAAGTCACTTTAAGATGTTTTCTTGTTCATGTTTTCATTTTTTGTTTGTTGCGGTTGCACCCGATTCAAGAGCCGAATGGCTCACAGGGCTATACCTAATAAATGAACTTAGAACTTTGTGATGTGGTCATGGACAAATGTTGCAATCAGCCACCGTATGAGTGGGGTTTTCTGTTTAACTCAATGAAACGATGATCTGCCATCAACGTTCCATTGTGAACCGCGTTTCACAGTTCACAAACATTTGTTAGTCGTCACGCTGTGTGGAAATTTCGGGAGTTTTTTTTTTACATTTAGAATTCCTCCGAGCGGAAACACATTTGGTGAGAAGGCAAACACAATGGAACCTGTGTCACAATAATTGCCGGCAGTTTCCATACGAAGGTGTTTGTTTATTTATTTGTTGACAAATAGCCTTTGTGGAACACCGTAGTTATTATGCCCAGATGGTTCAAGTGATTGATATACAAATATAGCCTTTTTAAACGTTTCAATATGTGAGTGTGGATATTTTTCCCACCAAAATTGCCATTTGTTACTCAAATGAGTGATCTAATATTAAGACAGTAATATAAAGGCCCAAACTAGCGTTTTTATTTTACCATGCTATTTATGTATGTATGTTGACATTTTTCACACGATACATAGCCAACCATGCTCATCCAGAGATAAAGATAGGTTTTGTGTATATATATATTTTTAGTGTTCGAAGTTCTACAATGTGATGTTGACAAATAATAATAGGCTTTACCCTTTCTGGCAATAAAATAGGTGTTAGGATGTTCAAACAATACCTTTTGCAAGGAATCCGGTCTACATTATTAACGAGACGTACTTGTGTTAAACATACAAACATAACTCTAACGCATGCGTTGTCTCTGAAACTGATTGGCCCACACCAGAGACAACCTTCATGGCTGTGACACTGCCAAAAAGGGTCCCGCGACAATGCGATGTTGGTCGGGTGGCTGCGAGTAGCTCGGCCTCCCACCTTTGTAGTGCTGCCTGAGGTCGGTGACGGAAGCCGGCAGGTCGCCAGCGTCGTCGACGTCGTCGCTCCGTGTCAGGGCCCCGTCGGCACGCTCCGCATTGATGACGCGCAGGCTGAGCCGCGCCACGGTCTGTGTGAAGGTGTTCTCGCGCGCCACGCACAGGTACAGCCCCGCGTCCTTGCGGTGCAGGCGGCGGATGAGCAGCCCGCGCTCCAGCTTCACGATCCGGCTGTCCGTCTTGATCTGGAACGCAAGCGGCCGCGCGGTGTTCACGCATTCTGTCTACGGCAGTGTTCTTCGCTAATATTCAGATGGCGAGGGGCGGGGGACGGGGGGGTTGCGGCTACTTTCGCCGAGAAGACATCAGTGGTGTGAGGGCCCGCCACACATTTGAAACCATTGGGGGTTTGACGGCATGATGGGGGGGGTGTATTCACATTTGTGTGCGTATTGTCGGGGGCCGCATGTCAGGGGCCGCACTAAAGGCCATCAGTGGCCCGCACGCTTTGCAATGAAGAACACCGGAACATGGGTTTGTGGACGGGGCTGTCATGCGAAACGGATATTAGGACTGTGGTGGAAAGAATAATTGCAACAGTAAATTTAGTATTTACTCCTTGGGCAATATAGGACCCTTGAGGGACATTTTAAATTGCAGGGGTTTCAATGTGGAATCGATTTACCAGCTGTCCCTGATGGAGATTTTTTTAGTTGACGCCTTCAATGCACTCGACCAGTGTACATCTCCGTATTGGCAGCCACACCATAAGTAGTCAAATGCATGGGTACACCTGATGGGCAATCGAGCATTGGATGATTCTCATCTCTGTTGGTGGTCCGAAGCAAGTGGTGGACATTATACATTCTTACGGCTGGGACCAGTTTTCCCAAAAGCTTAATAATGTTACTGCCCAGCATGGCTGTCTACCTATGGTGCGAAATAAGTTCTACACACATATGTGGTATTCAACAAGTGGCAATAATTTTACTGACCCTGGAGAGAGGACATCAGCTCAGGATCTCATGATTGGGAGTCCCTAGGTGCTCTAACAACCAAGCTGTTCTAAAAGCTATGCATATTACAGCGTGTGACTAAATCATCCGGAATATGCCTGATCGCGTCAGATCGAATAGGCTAAGCAGGGATTTGAGTCTGGATAGTGCTTGTATGGGTGAGGATGATGTGCAGCAGATTTCTGGAGGCTGTGAGGAAAGTGGTTGCCTGCAGAGGCCAGTGCAGCAAAATCCACGGTTGTACGCTACTCTTTTGCTACCTGGAAATGTCCCCCCCACCCCCCACTTTACCAACCCTCACTGAACCAGCGTTTGATTAATATCGCTCACTTCATGGCCCGCACAATGTGGAGGTCCTCATTCACCGCTGGATTGACAAAAGAGTGTATATATGTGTGTGTGTATATATGTATGTATAATAATATGGTGGGGAGCGGTAGTGTAGCGGTTAGCGCGCTGCGCTATGAACCTAGCGACCCAGGTTCGATTCCCGCTCACAGCCAACACTAGTGACGATTATCTGAACCGTTCCTGGGCCTCCCCTAGGTCGACTCAGCCTTAAATGAGTACCTGGTGCGGTGTGTAAACATCGCCACTGGGGATACAAAGGCGGTCGGGCGTGGTGCTGGCCACCCACCCCCTCGTGTACCGTGCCGGCATTCATAGGTGCTCGCTAACAGAACTTGCCCCAATAGTCTGTTAAAGGCTATACAGGACATCTTTGTATATATGTGTACGTATTGGTAGAATCAATAATGTACATGTGCTCATGCGTATTCATGGCCTGAGCCATAATTACGGTTGTTCCATTATTGCCAGTGCAGCTTGGAACAACATCAATGCAACAGAGTTTAATTTCACTGCCGGCAGCCTTTGAGCCTTTGTAGCACGTGATGAGAAAATCTCGGTCGTGGCACGTGCACAGATTATGAAACGGATGCAACCAAATAAGCCGTTGTATTGGGCATTTCCTTGAGCGTGGATAAAATGAGTGTTAAGGTAGGATTGTAGACAGTGACAATGATGTAGGTCTCAATAATCCCTCCCCCCAACATCATTCTGCATTGACCATAGGCAATTAACTAGCTAGGCATTACCATTCAATACATCAAATAATAATTCGCGTCGTTGAAGTTAGACAGAGGTTACAATTGTTCAACTTTAAATCTCGAAGCATTTCTAAATACACGTGACCGTGGAAAAATCCTCGAAGTACAGGAAGCATAAATTGCTCTGGTCTGCGGTCCAGTAAGCGGTGAATTGCAATTTAACCATGTTATTGGTGAATTGCCAGTTTTGTTTATAGAATGTGTGGCGGTAGTGAGTGGCTAGCACGTCGCACTACAAACCCTGCCACCCGATATTGTGTTGCTGCTCACAGCCGCCAACACCAGTGACGATTATCTGAATCGGATTGGGGCATTCCCTAGGTCGATTCAGCCTTAAATGAGTACCTGTTGTGTTCTGTAAACATCAGCATTGGGAAGACAAAGGGGACTGGGCATAGTTCTTGCCCCACCACATGTCCTTGAACCATGTATGGTCTTTATAGGTGCTCGCTAACAGCAATGTCTACAGCAGGCTATGTTAGCTGGGTAATTGTGTGTATTTATATATCCTGTGTATGGAGTGATGACACTAGTATTGGATGGTACTGCAATCCCATAAATCTGGGTTTGATTCCCAGCTATGGAAAACACGAGTGGCAAATATATGAGCCTAAATAATCATGAGTGAAGTCATAGAGAATGTAAGTAATAATATTATCTCGAGATAGCCTGTAGGTCCATTGTGCCTGAAATGAGTTGTGTGTTTTAAATTGTGTACACCGTTATCGCCGGAGAGATGACCCACATTCTGATTTTTGTACAGCGTCTTGAGATTCACTCGCATTTAGAGTTTGTAGAAATCCAAACGAAGTGCTGTTGGGACACCTAGGCAGGTCTGTGCCATGTCAGCATTAACCAATGCTTGCCGACAGCACTCGCATCGAGTACATTGTTTTGTCCATACATTTCTTTGTAGAAACCAAAAAAATGCTTTAAGCATATACACATGTGAACTTATTGAACATGAATCCTCACTGCAAAAGGTGCATAATTTGCGCAGACGCTCAGGCACAAGTAACCGCCTTTCATCTGTAAAGCATTTATCCCAAGCGTATACACGCGCGCTCTCAAGGATACACGCTAAAAACGAAACCTCCTGAGAACATCAACAAAGGATTAGACGAGTCGCCATCATTCCTCCAATTGTCACCCGCGGGTTCAAAGGTTGGCCGTTGGTCAGCCGCTCGACTAGCAAAAGTCAACAGGGACGTGTACACAACGGTTACCTCCTCCTGCTGCTCGCCCTGGCTGTGTTGTATAAACCAGACCACGGAGGCCTGGTGTGACTTTGGCGAGCACTCCAGGAAGGTGGAGTTGTGTTCCATTCCAAATATGATCTTCTCTTCGGTGTGGACCACGTTTGACCCTAGAGGAGGGGGGGGGGGGATGTTGTGCGGTTAGTCGTGACATAATCGGAAGCTATTTTGTTGTGAAATATCCGTCGATCGTGGCGGCGTACGTGGGTTCACCACTCAGTTTAGATGTTTAAATGGAAGTTGGTCAGTTTTTTGTAGCTTTGTGTATAAATTGTTAATTCGTGAAAACATTTTTTGGACCCACGCTGTATGATGACATTCTAAGATACACACTTATATTTACTGTGCCTATGTTTATCACCACAATAGTTGCAAAAACGTCAAAAATGAAAGACTAACAAATGCAAAACAATATTTCACCTTCGTAAATTTTTGTTAATTAATGCGGTATGATTTTATTTGGCCAATTTAAGTTAATGAAAAAAAGGGTTTACATCTTGTACAGGTCTAGGGTGCCTTACAATTACACGGTTAAAACAAAAATGTGTCCAACCCCATATGCCCAAGCAAATGCGTAACATTTTCGAATATCCCTTGGCAGTGAAACAGATATGATGTTATAATCATCCGATTGATTTCTGAACAATAAATATTAAATGAGAAATTACTTTTCCCGCTAAACTCCCCTGATTTCTGAAACAAGTTGGTAAAAAGTGTCTAAATGCAGGTATTGGTATTTTTGCATTTAGTCCATTGAACATGTATCCAATTTCCTTAAACCACCAATACAAATGTCATAATGTAAATGATCATGTTCCAGACTTGGTAGAAAACATCAAAAGAATAAAGACACCCCTTTTTCTTTGTACTAAAATCAGTAACAAAAAAAAATATTATTATACAAAGACCTTGAAAGTGGAGCGATTGGCTATTTTCAGTGGAGGAGGATGCTGTCTGGTAAGCTTCACAACCATAATTTGACTAACAAACATAAATCAAGGTGGCCTGCAGCTGGACGTTTGTCTTCACTGTGGCTGGATGGTCTTGTAAACAGCTGTAGATTTGAGAAACGGCGCAGATACACAAGCGGCAAGTTCCATTCTTCACGAGGATTTCCAAATGCCGGGAACTGTGCCACTGCTGTTGATCTGTGACCATGCATGTGGCTCCAGTTATGAGAATGAGTATTTCATTTCCCGAAGCTACGAAGTGTGTATGTAAATGACTTAAAGGTGAAGGTGCATCCCTGCAGTTGTTGTGAATGTACGCATGTTGAACTTATTTTGAGCAAATGCATAGTACGTATCTTCTTGGTTCTTTCACGTAGAAGGGAAATAATAAAATAATAAAAATAAAACATAATAAAATACAATTCTCACGACGTTTTGGCCACAACGCAAGCAGCCGTCCTCACGAAAATTGTATTTTATTATGTTTTATTTTTATTATTTTATTATTTCCCTTCTACGTGACTTTACCGAAAGAACCAAGAAGATGAATCCCTGCAGTCACGAAAGCTTTAAATCGAAATTTGCATCGTACGTAGCCAACCAATGCTAGTTGGAGGTGCGGTGGAAGGACAATAAACTCGACACAGAAAGCAGTTCTAAAGAGATGAGTTTTCAATCTGGATTTAAAAGTGCACAGCTCCAGCCGCTCCCTAATATCGGAAGGAAGAGCGTTTCAGACGCAGAAGCATTCCATCCTCTTCCCTATGATCTCAAAACAGCGTTTTGCAATGTGGTTGCATTTAGTTTTTTTTTACTGGAATTTTACTCCAGAAAAAAAACAATTGCAGTGCTAACTGTAATACACACTGCCAATGCTGAAGCTAGTAAAGGAACTACAATTTCTCTAGATAATTCATTTTTAAGGTAATGTATAACAAAAAACATTTTCCTACATTTAAATCTCAATTGTCATACGACATGACGCCAAGATGTTACGCGTCTCACTCCTGTGGGTGGAAGACTGCAAAGCAGATAATTGCATTACATGGAATGCTTTGTCCAGGCCATACGTTTATATCTATAATAATTATCACTGTTTTATTGTTTTAACCCTGGCATAGTTAATATTTTGCTTATTCACTAGAATAATTTGCACAAAATGGAACAGCAAAGTGACATTTTAGACCGAATCTATTTTTATTTCCGAGATTTTTCTCTGCTGCGCCACAATGGAATTGAATACAGTTAAAATGTAAAACAATACACAATTTGATAAACAATGCTATGAGAAATGCCACTGCCCCTGGTGTAGAGCTATGTTTATTTCTGAACATGCTCAAAGCCCTCCTTGAGGTAAGCGACTGGCTTGATGTATCTCACTCGACACTGCCATGCCAGAGACTGAGCAGATCATGATGTCTGGCGTTTTGGAACATTCTTGTTTTGCTTACAATCATACGTGCAATGATGTACGTATCATACTTTATTAACATTGCACAATAACCTTTTTGTAGAATATTTAATCCAGAAGTTAAAATATACATCTCGCATAACTATCCGTGTACTACACATTTAACCTTTTTCAAACATCTTGTTGCTTGGATAATGGCTGTAATTATAATGTGTTAATAGACGCAATTAATGTTTTAATATATGCACTGTATATATGTGTTTTTTGTATGGATAATTATTTACTGCCATGAATCAATCACATCCAGGATGAACGCCTATGCCTGCCATGTTGGTCACGGAGGCTATCTGACAATATTTCACCATGCCGGCAATGGAGGGGGTGCCCATGACTGGTTCATATTTCACTCCCCGCTGATGTTACCAGTGGTGGAGAAATTCAACCCAGGTCGCTGGGTTCATAGCGCAGCATGCTAAACCCACCGTAGCGCGCTGTGCCACCTTAACCCAACTCTTCCGTCAAGTGACCTCTAAAATAAAAGGTAAAGAAAGGCAAATGTGCAACGCTGCAGTTGCTTGCTTGCACCGCCGCTGGCGAAAGTGGACCCCTGCGAGAGTTATGTCTGTAGAGATTCTAAGAGGGCATTTGGCCTACTCTTTCAGGGTGGTCAGAAAAAAATGTAACCCGTAAAAACAAAGTTTTTCACTCTAAATACTTTATATGCGTGGCGGCTAGAGTCCTCTCGTCCTCTGGCTTGAGATGGCTGCCACCTATGGGTCAGATGAATGCCTGCCACCATTAAGCAATTGGTAATTAAATATAATTTATTTTTTCCTAAAAAGTGTAAAATTTTGGAAACGTTTTTTCACGAAAATAAATTGTCACGCACAACGAGTCCTGTGTGCAAAATGTCTGCTCGATTGGATCACGGGAAGTGGGTTAAAAAACGACCGAAAGATTTGCACGGTCGTAAGCGCGCAAGCAAGCAAGAAAGTGAACTTAATATAAAGGATTTAAAAAAGAATCGACAAAGTGGAAGTGCCCACACTTTACCTCCTCACGTACGACTCTCTGTGATGTGTCCATTTACCTTCAACTTGGTGGGGAATTTTAAGAAACTTGCACCGTCGTGTCAAATGCCACGACGGGCGACCTCTGGATTGCAACGTCCCAGTGCGTTTTAGCCATTTTTCACCACAGCGGCGTCGACCTTCAACGCCTATCTGTTTAAAATACCGAGACATGATGACGATGTGAAGCCGACTTACTATCTTTGAGGTCCCGGCACTGCTCGTTCGGATCCCCGTGGCGGACATCCTGTCGTCTGGACCGCCTGTTGCTGCGTGCACAGAGAGCGTACGGACAAACCATGGATAAGCATCTCTCCATCCTCTCCCCCCCCTTTTTTTAAAGGATGTTGTATGACAAGTCGAGACAACGAGATTCACAGCTTTTGGAGGTCATCACGATTTATCTGTACGTATTAAAAAACTCGTTTAAAGCAGCTAATATTTACACACGGAGGGGCTGAGGCGAATTGTAAAGATACTGTGAACCGATGCCAAAATATGCCCATTGTAAATTCAGATTGTGTTGAAGTACAATTGTATTGTGTTTATGTTAGGGTTCATGGTTTGTAATGGCTGTTATCGTAAGGGAGAGTTGGCATGCCTCTTAAGAGCAGTTCTAAAAAGGCACGCAAAATAAATAGTAGGTTCATGGTTGAGGCTCAACAATTTTTTTTAATGAACACATCATCCTAATCGTAGTCTGTGTTTCAATAAATCCACCCCTGAAATTAAAAGTGTGATCCTGTGCTCATAATATAGGGCCTACAAATATTGTGTTCAAAGCATTGAGCAACATGCTAATTGGAGACATAATATCTCAAGTTCTCGTCAGATCTTAGAAGCTAACCCGGTTTGAGCCTGGTCAGTACTTGTAAGGGACACACTAGCTGGGAAATGCCAGATGTCTTCAGTTGGCACTGTGAGGTGGCCAGGCAATGACTGCGCAGCAATGGTTTCCTGTAGCAATCCGTGCAGAGCTTTGCACGTAATTCCATTTTTACTATCGAGGGGTTTCTCCTGAGTCCTCCAGTTTCCTCCCACCACGAAGCCAATACGCTCATTAATGGAACCGGCCAAACAATCCAACCCACGAGGGCCCCATTAAACATGACTCTTGAGACTCGGGAAGGATTTCGCCGAGTGTCGCTGCCGGAGCTGTTGCCGAAGTGTCACCTCTTGGGCAGGGGCAGGTAGCGGGAGCAGGTGGCACCGTCCCAAGCACAGTAGGGGTCGCGTGCCAGGCAGCACTCGGCGCACGCCTTCCCGTACACCTCGCAGCGATGCAGGGAGAGCTGAGCCAGCCCAGTGCGAGAGCCCACGTACAGTTGGTGCTGCACGACAAACAACAAGTATAACACTTAAAAACAAAGTTTTTCACTATAAATCCTTTATATGCGTGGCGGCTAGAGTCCTCTCGTCCTCTGGCTTGAGATGGCTGCCACCTATGGGTCAGATGATTGTCTGCCAGTATTAAGCAATTGGTAATTAAATCTTTAATTTGTTTTCCCTAAACAGTGTAAAATTTTGGAAAAAAATTTAACGAACATTAATTGTCTCGCACAACGAGTCTGTGTGCAAAATGTCAGCTCGATTGGACCACGGGAAGTGGGTTAAAAAACGACCGAAAGATTTGCACGGTCGTAAGCAAGCAAGCAAGCACGCAAGCAAGCAAGCAAACTTAATATAAAGGATTTAAAAAAACACCCGGCGATGGTGTTTGTGAATATATTTTTTATAACCAAAAAAAACGATTTCATTTGTATGAGACTGGCATTTTTTTTTGCGTTGCGTTGATCCGCGATGGAACTGAAACCGTGAAAGGGAAGTGTGAGCGGGGCTTGGGGAAATATACATCGCCAGAAAGGGACGATGGCTGATGGCCAAAGAATGATGGAGTGACAGCCAAAGAATGGAACGTGTCCAAGAGGTGGTCCACCGAGGAGATTGAGCGATGAATTCGGCTCGTCTGCAGGAGGCTAAGTGGATTATGAATTGTATCACGGGATCATCTTTATTTTATATATTTAATATAGCGCCTCAGTCATAAAAGGTGGCAGCTGCCTGGGAAGGCCTTCATACAGCAGTGGATTGATCATGGCTGGTGATGATGAGGAGAATGCTGTTTATTAATTATGACTTGGTGTGTTCTCAAGACGATCCGAATCATTGCCATCAACTTTCAAATGTACAACACTGTTCTTCTACAGGCCACCGGGACAACATGCTTCTCGTATAAGAGAGACGAACGGGAAAAATAAATGTTGACTTAAAGCTTTCGTGACTGCAGGAATTCATATCCTTTGGGTCTTTTGGTAAAGTCACGTAAGATAGGTTCAAAGAAAATAACAAAAAAATAATAATAATAAAACTACAACGTTTTGATCGCAACACAAGCGTTTGTCATCAGGAAGATGATGACGAACACTTGTGTTGCGATCGAAATGCCGTAGTTTTTTTATTATTATTTTTTGTTATTTTCTTTTAACCTATCTACGTGGCTTTACCGAAAGACCCAAAGAATATGAGAAAAATACATGTGAGAAGTCTAACATAGCAATCAAGGTGCCAAGTGTGTTTTTATTTGGTATTGTGATTACTGATAGGTTTTATTTATTCCCCAACAGCAGATGCAGCGTAAAATAAAAATAAACTTTCCATCATTGTTGGACAGCTGCTTAGCATTTACCACTGCAGGAAGAATGCTTCCATTGTTCAGTAAAATTCTTCATTGTCAAGCAATTCGCCAGACCTGCCCTTTAAGCAGTCAGATTACAGGTAAACGCGGTCTCAAATTGACGGTTTCGAATTTTTAAAAGTTTTTTTTTTATAATGTCAACATTTCTAAACACATCCATCCTTTGGTACTTTTCCAAGCTGTCACTCTGTGCCCACTGACAAATACCATACTTTTATTTGAATACCGTATTTAAAGAGGTGTCTGTTTAAACGTATTTTATTTTTACTTCCTGTGCGGATTTCGGTTCCGATTCACACATTGACGAATGTCTCTTTTCATTAGATTTTTGATGGCATATGTAGTGATGCTTTTGTCACCTGCAATTGGGAAAATTGGCTAGGGGCTGTATTTTTGATCCTAGATGCGAACATAGTCCTTTATGTACGGCACCCCAATGAAATCCATATCTCTTGGTAACAGAAGCGTACACATTCAATGCGGAGTTTAAATTTTTGCACAGTGAATGTGCACAAACAAATGTGGTAATTGAGATTCAGACTATTGGTGTTGGTAGTGTTTGCTCTCGTTAAGGAAAGTAGCTTTCAGCCGAGCAGAACGCTTATAAGATGATTATTATTCACAAGATGCTTCCCAATCCCCCCAGGTCTTAGCTAGAATGAGCTCTTACACGTGTCAGCTGTGCACCCATGCATAGTAATTGAACTGATGAATTTAATGGAATGTCGGTGTGTGTATGTACTTACAATAATTTGGAATTATAATCATACCCCCCAACATACTTTAGATTTTTTCGTGAACCATTGGATGGGACGGTTATTTAATTCCTATATATTTGGGGTTCTTTATAGAGTGATGTAAAACGATGGTGAATTAAACAAAAATTTGTTTGGAATGCAGTCATGAGTTGATAACAGATGGTGAGAGATGGTAAATGTATGGCTAACGTAACAGACACGTTCGCTTCGCCGAGTGCACAACTCCTCCAACAATTCATTACCCTGTCCTTGTTCCTGGTACAATATGCCCGTTATTTAGTAAATATTGTTAATGTGTGTTCTGTAAGCACCATTCCTGCCTGCATCATCTGACGCGTTCCCTTCCATTGTGGCCTCTTCCTCCTCACGGATCACTTTGACGTTGTTCTATGCTGATGCACCACGGATCCTCGAAAAGTCGCTGGGTAACTCTCTCAATGGGACTTTGTGTAACACAAACATTGATTAATTTATATAGATGGAATTGAATGTATGTAAGAGGAATAGAAGCAGATTTGTAATGTTGAGTCCTTGCAATTGTCTCTCAATTTATGATATAATTCATGCAAAAAGTAACGTATTATTAACATAACACAATATATATTTTAAAAAATATTCGAGAGTTGAAGTTGAAAGCAATTGACAAGTGTGATTTGAATGCTTACCCTTTTTATAGATATTTTCATGCTGATGATTGGCGATGGTTCCTGGAAGTGAAAGAAAACGGTTGAATGTTTTACAACTTATACAAGGTCGTTAACTTTGTGGCATTCATAACATTACCTAACTCGGGGGGGGGGGGGGGTCTTCAGACTCCAATGATCGAGACCCATCACTGTTGGCCATTTTCATTTTTATCAATTCCATTTGGATACAAATTACACACCACACGCACCTGATTATTGGTAAACGCATACAATATGATATGGACAGAACCAATAATCGTTGAAAGATTATCACACGCGTACAATTATGGGATACAGAATTATCTTCAGCGCTATCGCATGGATCGTTTACCAAACATCAGGCGGATGTAGCAAGAAATAGCGAGTTTTATATTTTGAACAGAGGAGACTGGTAAAAGTGTTTAAAGGCCCGACTGGTGAGGTGCAAGGAATGGAGTTTAAAGATAATGTTGTAAATTTAGCTTCACGAACCGAAAAATAACACGTGTGGCATTTCTTATAGCTCCCCTCAAAACAACGAAATGCAGTGCACGTTTGCTGGCGTTGCAATAATTCACATTATCACATTATAGTGGGGTTGGGTGCAAGTGTGCGGCATGCGTGTGGCATTCCTTTTTACCTTAAATACTCGAATTTCCTCCAGAACCACCTCCTCTGTGAACCGGTTTTCCTTGTTGATGGTTATTGCTTTGAGCACCAAGCCGGAATCTGAGGGCAATAAATCAGTTTTTCAATAAGTGTCTCGCCATGACCTATTCACATGGAGTCATTTTCTGGGCATTAGGGAACAAAGCTGTAACCAAAGATGTTTATGGATCGAACAATTATTACGATCACCATGAGAACACGGAGGCTCGGGTTACTTTGTTACGCCGTTTAAACAATGTTCAAACACTCGAATGATTTTCTAAAAAAGAGACCTGCTAGGCAGGACCCCTAAAAATCGGCTACGTTATTAGAAATTAATTACGAACGCTTTTACACGAGGATCATTGTGGGTAATAGGTAAGCAAAGGCATGGTTAGTGTATATGGGAATTGTTTCGACAACGCAACTAAATTATGTAAAATTCTAGTGTTGATTAAATTATTCATATATATATGTATAACTTATTGGTGGATTGTGCTTTCAAAGTCGTACAGATTTTGAAATAATGAGGCAAGACGTTGTCCTCACGACCACGTCATTAAGTTCCACTTAACATTTGCCCATTCAGCGCTTTGCTGGCATTTTATTCCATTCCGCCCATAGCTTGCCAGAGTGTTAAAAACACACGGATGGCCGCACAATAACACAATAGCTCGATAAAACATAATGATACAATTATGTGGGTGTTGAGGGACTAAGTTATAAAGTTATTTTTCCTGAACCGTGCCCCATCCTCTCATCACCTCCCCACCCCACCCAGGTAGTTGCCACCCCCTTAGCCTTCCCCTGCACCAAGCTGTGCAGAGATGCGGTCCCATTCGCTCGCCTGTTATCAAGAAACAAGAACAGTCTGTCCAGGCACAACTCCTAAGGGGCCCTATCCCATGTGAATTTTACTGGGTGAACTTTGACGGCTTGCTGAGCTTGCATGTCCCGACTGGTTGTTTTGATTCATAAATAAAATTAAACCCGTTGAATGTAATTGATATAGTGTATTATATACTCTTAAAGCCATGTTATCGATGTCGTGTAATACGCTTAAAACATTTATTTCTATTCCGTTCCCCAATAGCTTCGTGTAAAGGGCGTGCGTGGAATAAGAGTGGTGATGTAGCCCCAGGTACATTTCAAAGATTCTAGGAAAGGGACCATAACCTCCAGCGGTAACCCTAACCCAGAGAAAGATTGATGAGGGAAGTTGGCATAGTTGTTAAAAACAGAAGGCTTGAAGTGAATCACGCTTAGGAGCTAACGTAAAGCAGCTGGATGCCCATTTGGTAGACGCTGGCGTATATAAAAACGCATGCCGCTCAGGGCTTCAATTATAGTGAGACGGGTTTAAATGGTGACAATTAAGCACAAATCACTGGAATAACTTTACGCTGTCAATTGGCCAAAATGGACTGCCATGGGTGTTCTGCTCGTATTATCCCACCACCTCATATATCAACTCTATCTCCCCTTAAGAGACTGCAAAGAAAGTAGCAAAACACTATACACTGGGCTTATCCCACGCTGTAATAATAGTAATAAAAATGTAAAGAGTTTACATAAATTAAGCCCTCCAGACATTTAGGAGAATTTTGTTTTGGTATATATAAGGCTATCTTCTTTAAAAACTGCTATTTTTTTTATCTGCATCTTTAGCAGGTCATTATAACCGTCGCGTTATCTCCCGCCGTGTTTTGTGTTGATGTTTGTGTAACGCATCTTGGATGTGAACTGTCTATCTTATCAGCAATGGAATGCAACCCTCTGCCACTCCCAAGGACCACACAGTAAACGGGATACCAATCTTCGCTGTGATCTTGTCAAAATAAAGTCATTGGTCACAATCGGCCAGAGTCAATCCGATGCTGGATGGTCTCAAAAAATGTGTCATCAGCCCATGATCTATTCACTGCTGGATTAATGCCTTCCCCCCCCGCCCACACCCATTCTGCCACCATCTCTCTCAATCCAGAGGCGTAATAATTCATCGAGTGTCCCGCACATGAGCTGATTTAAATGTATATATAGTATGTATGTTGAACTTATTTGGTGCCGTACGTAGCCAACCGTGCTAATTGGAGGTACGGGGGAACAACAACAAACTAAACACAAAAAAGCAGTAATAGAGAAATGAGTTTTCAATCTAAATATAACACATTCCTGCGGAGGGAGCTGGAAGGAACGTTGGGTTGCTCGGTCAATGGCCAGGGTCAACGGCGGCGTGGTGTATTCCGCAAATATGCCCGACTGTGAGGGCAGGCACAAGCCGGCGTGAGTAGGTTAAATGTTGAGTTTTATAAGGGCACCACGGGGTGACCAGCTCCTCCCCACCCAGCCCCACCCCTTCCACCCCCCACCCAGCCCCACCCTCCCTCCCCACCCAGCCCCTCCCCACCCTCCCCTCCCCACCCAGCCCCACCCTCCCCACCCAGCTCCTCCCTGCACGACAGACACAATAATCCCCTGTGGGCTGGTGTAACCAGGAGGTTCGTACCAGTAAAAGTGCGTAGCTCCAGTGGCTTCCTAATATCGGAAGGAAGAGCGTTCCAGACGGCCGCAGAAGCGCATCTAAAGGTTACCGCATTACGTGCTATCTTTGTTCCATGGCCAGCCAAAAGCCGCCGCCGCCACTGCTCGCGAGAATGACCGGAATTCGCGTGAACCGGTTTACGCTCGATTTAAAGCTTTCGTGACTGCAGGGATTCATCTTCTTGGTTCTTTCGGTAAAGTCACGTAGAAGGAAAATAATAAAATAATAAAAATAAAACATAATAAAATTTCGATGTAAAGCTTTCGTGACTGCAGGGATTCGTCTTCTTGGTTCTTTCGGTAAAGTCACATAGAAGGGAAATAAAAAAATAAAAAAAATATTATTTTATCATGTTTTATTTTTTATTATTTTATTATTTCCCTTCTACGTGACTTTACCGAAAGAACCAAGAAAGACGGTTTACGCTGCTCGAAAACCAATCGAACAATAAGAATCCCGTAACGTCATAACGCCACGAGGACAACGCTTGCTCGGCACTAGCGGCGGCGAGCACTCACCCGTCCCCAGGAAGAGCACGTCGTACTGGCCGTCGGTGGCCTCCACGCGGTCCACGGCGATGCGGGTCAGCGTGTCCCCCGTGCCGGCGCGCACGAGCAGCGGCCGCCCTCCGAGCGGCGCCACGGCCTCCCACACCAGCTGGTGCTTCCGCACGAACTCCAGCACGTCGTCCGGCAGCTCCCGTGTGGACGCGTAAGCCGCGTCGTATGTCCTGCTTGGGCACTGCGGGCAGCGGGGCACAGCAGCGAGCGGGTTGTTGGTGTGGGCAGCCTGGCATGTGCTCTGGCGCTTCTCCCTCTCGGTCCGTGCTCATGCTGCACGGTTTGCGATTAAGTCGCCGCGTAGGTGCACGCCGGTGTGCCGGCTAAGTTCTCCGAAGTGTTTTTTTTCAGGTCGTACCGGCACCTCTGATAATAGCACGGCTTGGCTACGTGCGGCGCAAAAGAAGTTCAACGTACATATGCACTGCGTGGTGTTTGGCACGATGTCCGACGTTTCGATCCACGTGCTGGGAGACTTATTTAGTGGGAGCGAAACGGCCAACATCGTGCCAAACTAAAACTTGGCACAACCTGAAAACGTGTCGGAGCGTCGTTATCAGGATCTGTGTCTCAACTGTGCACGGTAACTTTACACGCTTATAACAATCGTATGATGATAGATAAGTTGTGGTATGTGTGTGCAATATGGCGGACTACACCATGGAAATCCTGGAGCAGATAAATGCAACTGCCTCTCATAATGCTTGAACACATAGGAGAATGTGTATTTGGAGAGCAAGCGAATAAGGAAGGTCATGTTTTATTACTCGGGCATTGGGAAGGGGGCTAAGGGGGTACAGGGCAAAGCAGAAGAGGAGATGACATGTTAAAGGTGTGAATGAAGACACTTAATGGCAACAGTGACCGGCAGTCATACGCTGAGGAGATAAGGAAGGGTCTTGTGCCTCGACTCGAACAGTGCATGCAGTGTGGGTGTCAACAGGGATTGCATTTCAGACAGTTGGGGCATAGTGGCAGTAGAGGTGAAGGTGTTGACCACCCACTGAACAGAGATTGACTGGGGATTTTTCCAGAAAGCCTTGGTTGCTCGAGCCGATGGGATGGAGAGGGTAATACAGTGAAATGAGACGAGAGGTATACGTGGCGATGAATCGATGGAGGATTTTGAAGGTGATGAGAGTGATCTTGTAGTTGATCTGAGATTATATTGGAAGCCTTAGGGAGTGACCTGAAAATGGGGGAAATTTGGTGTCACTCACGTGTGTGGGTAACGAGTCTGGCTGCTGCGTTTCGTATCGTTTTGGGTTTCGTAGGCCAGGGATTTGGATGGGGACATGGCTGGGGAGTTACAGAAGTCGAATCAAGATGTTATCGAGGTGTACGAGAAGGGTTTTGGCGGCAGATGGGGCAAATAAGTTGCAGAGGCAGACGATGTTGCGCGAGGGAGATCGGATGCCTCGGCACATGGAGATGTCATGGAACAAGGGGAGTTCTTGGCTGAGAATTTGGCCAACCTTTTTCATGCTTTGGGTGAGCTTGATGGAAAAGGCTAGCTTAATAATAGAATCGATTACGAAGTACATAACCTTTTTTGGCGATGAGACCAACTTTTGTTGGCAACATTCAACAAATTGATAAACACGTAAGGTGGATCACGGGATGGGGAGGGAGTCGTACAGTTTGAAGAAGCTTTGGTCTCGCTTTACTGAAATGAAAACAACTATCACCTTGAGGAAAATGGCCTTGCAAAGGCTGGCTGCTTTAGAGTTATAATTGAGCAAAGTATGTGTTTTTCCAAGGCGAGTAATTTAACTGTCAAAATGATGAAATAATGTTCCTGGGATAACAAATAACACAATGACTACCTTGGAATGGCATCAATGGCAGAGAGGGCCTTTGAAGAGTTACTGGGCTAAGCATTCATTTGTTCTGGTATGTGGAACATTAGTGCTTGCCAATTACATCTGCAGTTATTCGTCATGCTGTATACATGAGTGGTATTATAATGGTATTTTCAGACACTTAGCACATGTTTTACCATTAAATTGCGTGGCTTTTTATGAAGCACTCCTTCAAGTATTTGACTGTCGGTATGAACTATTTTATCCTATAATTGTCAAATTTTACAAGGGTTTCTAAACCCCATCTGTTTGGGTTTAATACTTCTAAATTTAATATGGACTTCCTTGAAGCCCAGTTATCAAAATTCATAATAGAGGAGGATGACATTTTAATTAACAACCAGAATGTATAATTGTACACTACCTAAGACCTTGAAGGCTTTGGATGTATCAGCTACGTGGTCGAAGCCTCTTTGCAATGGACCCGTATTAGGAAGTCCAAGTTACTGCCAGCATAACACGTAATTTTATTTCACATATTGCTTATATTAATTAACATACGTATATGTGTGTGTGTATATATATATATAAAAACACAAGTCTTTGAAAATATATGTAGTTTTTTGTACGCATTGCCCACTAAAATTATTTTCAATGGTGGAAAAAGTTAATGGAGTTTTATGAACTCTTGCGACATTTCCGCATGGCCTGAAAAAACACATTAAATTGTTGGTGGTATTTCTCAACTCGTCAGGTGTGTTATTTAAAATGGTACAATATTAACTTCGATTGCTATCATTCACAAAGTTAATTAGAAGGCCTCAAAGGTGATGTGTTAAGTAATATTCGCATGATGGATCCATGGCAAGTTCGTTATTTATGTCTGCAGTCATCAACTCAATGTTAGTTGTGTTTCTCATATCATAATTTTCCAATGAAATCTGCTAGAAACCATTCATTATTAATTATGGCTCTTTATCAAATGTTATGCCCTGACCATTGTCTGTCATAAACAGCAGCATCAACAACAGACTACATTGTATACTAAGGTCCATAATGTAACAAACATTCAATTAGTGTACATTTTTAATGTTTTTTTTCTTCAAAAGTCCAGACTGTCGCAGTGGCATAGCTAGGATATTTTGCACCCGGGGACGAACTATAAAATTGGCGCCCCTCCCCACCCCGTTTAATCACATACCAACATGTAATTACATGACAGGTAGGCTGTGTGTGGCGGGATATATAAACTTTTAGGTTGAGGTGTAGATGTGTGCAGTAGTTTCAGGCTGCCGCACCCGCCGCAATAAGTTATAATGTAACGTAAGCCTCATTTTGGCGCCCCTTTACCTTGGTGCCCGGGGACACATGTACCCCCCTGCCCCCCCTAGCTACGCCTCTGGACTGTCGGAAGTTGACTGTTGTGCCACCACCTACTGTGCCAGGTCGTGGATATGGAATTCGGTTTTTGAAGTCCACCCACTGGTGGTCTGGGCCCTCCTTGTGTGCAAAGGGGCCATGGAACGCGGCACGGATGTCGGACATGCTGTACATGCACACGGCGGAGCCTCTGAACACCGAGCTGAAATGAGAGAAAAAAAAATCCGGTAAGTCGCTCGCAAGGTCACGCACATTTTTCACAGGCACAGGGCTCCTTGAGCAGAAATTGAATGTTGAATAAAGCTGATAAGACACTTTGTTTGATAACGCTGCCCTTCGTTTGCACAGGGAAGCCTCGCCAAGTGTTAAGAAGCCATTTTTGCAGGGGGGGGGGTCTTGCAATTCGGATAAATAGCGAATTCCGTTAAGCAGTGTGGCATGTGGGAAGAGACTTGAGTGTCCGGAGAAAACCCCCTGCATATGTAAGAGTTATGCTCGCACCTCTGCAAAGATAAATTAAATGATCCATTAATGTATTGCCATATCCTGGCCACTTTAAATCTTCAAGTTCATCTAAATTTTTCTCAGAAATTCCATTCAGAAGATATAGCATTTATTTTAGCCATCTGGGAGAGTTTGATTTAAGATGTAGAATTAATGCCTGTGTCGTGAATAGATTAGGATAAATCGTCTGTCCGAAATTGAGACTTGCATGCTCACCTTGATGTTGTAAACACAGCGTAGATAATTGGGTTTCTGTCATCTTTGTTGGGAAGCAAAAACACATCTCCTGTGAAATAAACAAAATCCACAAGTGTAGTTAAAGGCCAATCGAGCATTGTATCTGCCCATCACCATAATGGACATGGTGATCCATTTACAGACACCGCGCCGATTTATGACGACACCCTTCTCGACAGGGCATTTGATACCGTGAAAGTGACAGCTCCATATTTTAACGGAGGAGATATGAAACTTGTATTGAGGTTGGTGGGAGGCAGAGCTAGAGGCTATACACTTCCCCAGTGTGTTTCGGGGGTTATGTATTGTACCATCGTGTAGAACAACACATGGCACGGACAGCTGTACAGCAGCACAGTGAAATTCTACGCAGTGGTATGCAGAGTAGAGGCTTTGAAGTTAAAGTTTTTCCTGTCTGTTATTTTTAGTGGGGTATCTATAAATGGATCACAATATATACGTGTCATGACGAGTTTTAACACACTTCTTTTGAGACGACACTTTATTGAAGACACGTTCACTTGACACCAGGCAGAGACCCCCACTGGAACAGCCCCGGAGTCTCCCGTGCATCTCCCCCTTTTATACCGGCACGAGGCCACGCCCCCCTTCTCGATCATTCTCGCTGACTCTGGACGCTCGCTCTACCGGCAGACTCCACCCTCCTCTTCCGTCACCTGACCACGCTCCCTTCTCGATCATTCCCGTAGCCACCAGTCCCTTCACACTCACAACTGATACCCCTGTCATTACCTCCCGTGGCCACTAGTCCCTTCGCACTGCAGGCTGACTCCCCCGTCATTACCTCCCGCGGCCACCAGTCCCTTCACACTGCAGACTGACTCCCCCGTCATTACCTCCCGTAGCCACCAGTCCCTTCACACTCGCAGCTGATACCCCTGTCATTACCTCCCGTGGTCACTAGTCCCCTCACACCGCATGCAGGCTCTATTGTCATAACATCTGCAACATGATCGAAAGAACACAAGTCTTACTGAGCTCGTCGAAGTGCGTGTCAATGTCATTGGGTCCTGGGATGGAGCACACGAGGCGCGCCTTCAGGAACGTTGTCCACTTGTTAACCAAGCTTCTTTGGCCACCCATGTCATTCTGGCGAACACAAAGGTCACACAACACTTACACCGGGTCAACGATACCTAACGGACACAGAGAGGGAGAGAGACAGACTGTCACGTGCCTCTCAAAGTAAGCGATTTCAATTATTCGGGGGCTGCATTCCAATGACGTAAGAAAGGAAATGATTGAACGTGACGCCTGCAATGCGGTGCTTTGGAGGCAAGGGTTGACGGATCGCGTCGATTTCAGACTTCCAAACATGCCGGGCAGTGAAGTCGCCAAGTGGGAGTCCAGTCAAGGTGGGGTTTGCGTCGACATTTGAGTGACACCTCTTTGTAGGCACGGGTTTTTCTCCTAGATATTTTTAAACATAATTTCTTCCCACATGCAAAAACCCTTTTAACATTTAAATTATCATATTTCACAATGTAGGACTTTTCCAGAAGAAAAGAGAGGACTAAAATATGGAGAGAATGGAACGCTCATTTTCTTGGTTCTTTCGGTAAAGTCACGTAGAATGGAAATAATAAAGTAATAAAAATAAAACTCTGTCTTCTCGACAGACCTGTTCTCCACCTGAGGACAGCTGCTTGCGTTGTGGCCGAAACGTCGTGAGAATTGTATTTTATTATGTTTTATTTTTATTATTTTATTATTTCCATTCTACGTGACTCTACCGAAAGAACCAAGAAGATGAATCCCTGCAGTCATGAAAGCTTTAAATCGAAATGGAACGCTCATTGTTTTCGTTGCAACAACTAAAGTAATTGAGTGTTGAGAAACAAAAGTTGGTGTTGTTTTGGCCTTTATTTCATTTGATTTTGTATTGCGTGTAAGGCTCTTAAGCTGCAGCCGCTACAAGGTATTCCATCACATTAATGCAAGCCTGCAGGGACTATCTAAGAATATCTTGCGATATGGACTTTGCCACAAGTAAGCATCACAATATCACCTATTCGGTGAAAATACCTCTCAGTCTTTGTGTTGGCAAAGCGATATGCTTTTCATAAAAATACACCCATAAGAAATATATGAGATTAGATATTCTCCTATAAAGTTTGTCTTTTTAAGCAATTGTAAAATGCTCAGAGATTTATGTTATCGATAAACGAAAAGTTAGTAACACATACTTTTTTATAGCATGATGCATTATACACGAGTAGAAACATGGGTTTATTGATAATCTATTTGCAACGTTTGTTGCACAATGTTTTTATTTGATGGTTCTTGAATTTTCGAGTTGGTATTCCCTACAATAATCCCTTGCCATTGGACAAAGAGAACATACATTATGAATCCACATGTAGATGTGACAACCTTTTATTCACGTATAAATACGATTCCATAATTAACTTGTCATCCAAAAAAACGAAAAAGCATCCCCTCCCCCCCCCGAAAATGGTTTGAATTTAAACCAAGCAATTTTGTCCTTTTGCATTCTCCAGAAAAAAACTCAGCAAAATATGGAACATCGCAACAGGAGCAGTACATGACTACTGAACTAGATGCTGGAAGATAACTTGGTTTGAAGCTTCAATTGGAACTTACTTTGCAGACGCGAGCGACCCGAGAGTAAATGGCTTTGTCTGAGGCTCCTGCCTCAATGCCGTACTCCCAAAAGAATACATAAACCTTGTCGTCATCGGGGTTCTGGCTTTCTGGGATTACAAAGGAACCCACAAAATTGGGTTCTGCAAGGAGGAGAGGAAAAAAAACCCAACAGCTTAAAAATAAACCAATTCGGGCAGTGGTGCACAGCGACAAATAATAAAAACACAACACATTCGCTGATAATAAAAATGGGTGGCATTTCGAGAAGCTGACAGAAATGTCACTGGCAATTAAGAGGGGCTATTGCCTAAAATGTTGCCTGTTATATATATGCACAGTATATACACGTTTCCTTTTTAAGACAATGTTATAGACATTAAACGAATGGCTTTGTATTTCAATGTATATAATCAGAAAGATGATCCATAATACAGGTTTTTTTGGGTTAGATTGCGTAAATATATAAATGTGTCATTAAACCCGCCACCATCCGACACAGCCGACTATGGCTTTGCTCTCCAACACACCGGTGTGCTGTACTAGTAACGAATTGGCACGTTCTGTTTACGTGACAAATCTTAAATTTATATATTTACGCGATCTAACCCAAAAAAACCTGTATTATGGTTAATATTGGTCGCGAAAGCCTACGTGTTAAACTGAGAAAGATAATGCATGTTTTTTTACGAAAACGTTTGAATGGTGTGTGCATGAGTGTTTATGTAAGGGCAGGATTTGTGGCGGAACAGTGGAATACCAATTTGAAACTATTAAAATTACTGAAAATGTTCAAAGTCTATTATAACATCGATACTTTCAATCAAACTTTAATTGCAGCCAGGTGCATGTGCACAATGAAGTATTTGTTCAAGAGCGCAGCAGTATTCACTTGGAAAATCTGGTACAATGCATTTATTAACACTGCAAGGAGAATGGACAGTACTGTGCTTTGATCCACTTTGAAATACAGGACGCTTTGTAAAAATGTGTTCATGGTGGCCTTATTGTGTGGCAGTAACTGAGAAAGTGGCGTTTTAGAAAAAAAGATGAGCATGGCCCCCACCAGACATCCAAGCTTCCTCCTAACGAGACTCAATCCAGTGTGTGTGGTGCATGTAGGAATTGACCATAGAGAAAAGTGGCACTAAACAGTGAGACTTATGCTGGTCAAAGTTTAAGGTCACAACACCCCATATAACTGTGGTTCGTAAAAGTGTACGAAACAGTTGGGCAGGATGTGATATTTAAGCCCATAAAGCTCATCTCGCTATGAATAAAAAAATCCATATATATACAGTTCACACGAACAGGAATACGCTGTGCATATATTTTTTATGGAAGTCTTGCTCACATTACTATCATTTGTTTCCTATTAATCCCAATACCCCAACGCTTTGAATAAAGCCACTGTTCCTCTTCCACCAGCAGCAGATGTCCCATGCATCTGAAAATTTTATTGCAATTTTTCGTGAAACTAAACGTATTGCTTCCTGTAATACACATGACCATTTATTTAAAAAATGAAAGGAAGTTAAGGTATTTTAATTATTGAGACCCATATGATGTTTCTGCCTTGCAATACTTCATCACACTCATTAATACAATTCGCCAAATATCCCAATGCAGGCCCATTTTTTAAATTAGTCTTGAGGCACGGTGATGTTTTCATTGACAAAAAAGGGCATTCATATCTATAAAATATTAACTATTTTGTGGTGACATAATTAATAAATTATACACATAGAAAAACAAAACACGAACATGATGCATTGTGTCACTTACCATTAAGCCAGTGTGGATCAGACTGTTCTGTTCGGATTAGCGGTATCTCATTGTGGTGATTTTTGTTTCCAAATAATCCCCAGTCTTTACCCATGAAGTCCGACACTGTTGCTGCGTACAACTCTGTGCCTGCAAACGTTCACACACATTCATCTTACCCATCGGCTTTATAAAGACATTGCGTGTATCTTATTTGTAGTTTATTAATATATGCAAGGCTTGTGCGTTTCTTTAACTGTGTGATAACTTTCACTAAACTATGAAATTACGTCATTATTGATGAGGTTAAATATTTAGAATTATTTCCATGGATGTGTGTCGATGAGCCTCTCGACTGATTTTAAAAGCCACCGAATCGTTCGTAATACCATTTGTATTTTGGATATCACTTTAATGCAATTATCGTGAAATGTGTTTTTTTATCAACGTATTTTCTAGTTAGCAATGAGAGGGGCATACCAACATAGGGCATTTCATAACAATATGGTTACAAATTGAAGGCAAATAAAACAATGTTCATCTCATAGACTAGACATGTCAACGCAATATTCCCTTACCATTAAATCTTCATGTGTTGGCTGTGCCTAGCATTTCTATTCTGTTGTACTGCAGGCAAGTATGCAGGCAGTGTTTAAGTTGAATTTTGTTTTTTTCTTTTCTACAACTTACCAGCCATGACGGACGTGGTCGCTTGTGCAGGATCATAGGGACATTTTCCTCGGCCAGACTCAACACTGTGCCAGTTCAGCATAAATAAAGGCTCCTGTTTTATGCAAAGACAAACAATAACAGAACTATGTCAACAATCCGAACAACCAATTACACACTCACAGCATTGCCAATACATCAGTGCAATGGGTCCTCTCCTCTGAAGAATGGCAATTGCCTGACAACTTCGCTTATTATCTGGGTTTTGAGTGTTTCTAGGCAGACATTCTTTCTGTCTCCACATAGTTATACAAATATGTGCTAGTCCATTGGCCTGTTCGCTTTGAAGATCGATATTACCCACCAGCTGTTGTTTAATGAAGTAAAATGTAACTAAATATTGGTCGGGAAAGCCAATAGGGTCTTGGAATACATATATATTTGTTTTATTAATATGCGGAGAAACAGAACAGCGTTCTGCTTGCATATATGAATTCGCCTATAAAGGACCGCATAACGAGTTTGGGTACATCGTACGTTTGGGTTTAATTGTAAGTCACTGTAAACGATCGCAAGGGTTAATCCTTGCCAGCCCATTTATAAACAAATCAATCACGTTACCTTTACCCTGAAGCCCATTTCCAAGAAGGCACAAGTCGGGTGGAAAGCCCCGGTCCCACAGACATACACGTGGCTCTGGTTGTACGAGTGCAGCACGCGGATGAAATTTGCACAGTCCGTCTGTAATGAAGATGTCAAATGGGAATCGGCATTAGGAATTCAGGCCATGCTAGACTTGCCAACTTTACAGATTTAACCGATATTTTAAAACCGTTTTACCGATGAATACCGATTTTGAAGGCTAGTCATAACACAAAATAAATTGTGGAAAAAAAACATAATTTGACACAATTTTACTTTACAAATTGGTGTGCGCTTAAAGGGTTTACAAATCGCCAGCCCGCCGCTTTAATTCGTTGGGTTGGCAAATTGTGCGCAATGTTGGAATGAGAAAAACAATATGCAGCTGCATGGCACGAAAGCAAATGTTACGAAGATTGTCCAGTCGTTAAAATAAGAAACCCTAGAGTTTTCTAATAAGAGACGATTGGTCCCTTGTTTCCTTCTGATTGTCTACGTGGCTTAATAGACGTTTTTATTACTCTAACAACATAATTATTTTGAATGTAATAGGTGTGTCTCATTGGATTTACTTGTTTAACAATATTACTTCTGTGTGCGCTTTTAACCAAAATAGCATGCACGTTTCGACTTGTTCATCAACCCGTCACATGTACTACTCACTTGTTCACTCTTTCCTGCCAGCAAGCATCTCTTCATCTGGTCCCTGTTGGGATTCCACACCAACTACAGAAAATATCACAAAAATACAAACCCACGGGACACCATGCTGAATTACACGCGGCACAACCCGAAACTACATTGGAGAGCTGTACAGCACAACCGTGAAAACCTACGCAGGATTACAACTCGGGACAAAAGAGGTTTTTATATTTTGTAAAGTAAATTGTGATTTGAATCACTTTACGTATGGGGCACGGTTATTGGTGCCCAGTTCCGGTATGGATACCACGAACCACTGATGGTAGCTGTGGTCAGGAATCGAACTCAAGTCAGCGGATTAATGCCTTTGTTAACGTCAACTAAATACATCAATGCCCCAGTGCCCACTTAACATATGGCACCAAGCATTTGTATGTGAAAGGATAGCATTGCGCGTGTGCCCTACGGGAAAACCAGACGTCAAGTCGTCAAGTGGACCACACGCGAGTTGGTGCGTCTCCCATCTGGGTTTGAATTAACCCCCTTCCTTCAGCTGTCATCGAGCTGATGACTAGTAACATACTCTCAGTTCTTTCGGTAAAGTCACGTAGGTAAAAAAATGAAATTAAAATAAAAAAAATTTAAATCACGACGTTTTGCTGTGCCAGTTTCACCTGAAGACGGAAGCTTGTGTTGCCTCCGAAACGTCGTGATTTTTTTTTTATTAATTTTAATTTCATTTTTTTTACCTACGTGACTTTACCGAAAGAACTAAGAGTATGAATCCTTGCAGTCACGAAAGCTTCAAATCTAGAACTGACTCGTAACGTTCTCTACCCGGGTCACCCTCACAAACACAATTGCATCAATGGACACATTTGCTGTGCTTTATATATATATTTTTTTTAACGAGGCGTTAGGTTCTTGCGGTCCCCTCGCACCTTCCTCGGCTGGTGGTTGAGGTCGTCAAGATTGAGCAAGAAGACTGGCGTTCTTGGCGCCGACGAGCAAGCGCCCGCGCTCTTCATCGAGGAGGAGCGTCTGGAAGTCGGAGCTCTCGTGGGAGCCCAGGAACAGCGCGGAGCTGTTGGACAGGAGCAGCTCTGCAGCGACAAAATGTACAGCGATCGTTAGGGAACCACATTGTGCCGAGGTGGTCGGGCAGGTAGGAGGTCGGAGGTGCTGGGATGGCACACCGCTGTCATCCTGGCTTTGAATCCCAGGCAATCGCCTCGTGATTTAAACCGCCTTCTCAAGTGTTCAGAGTCGATGTTACGCATGCACGTATGATGAACTTCTTTCGCACCGGGCGCAGCCAACCGTGCTAATCGGAGGTGCGGGATCGATTCGGCCCGGTCGCCAATGACTGCACATGCAAAACCGAAATGCGTCTTCACTTGATTTGGCTAAATGCTAGCTCCTGAGCATTAGACATCAGTTTGTCATGTAATGAACATTACTCGCATATGCAGAGGTGGGCGAGGTGGGGGGGGAGTGCAGCCCCTTCTGATATTTGTACCAGAGGTCATTTCAAGGTATTTCAGAGGTAGCTCTATGTGATGTACGCTGTTCATTAACTTGAAGAGTTGCACTGATTTGAGAGCAATCTGGACAGGATGACGCTAACGGCACAATTTGGATACAATTTGGCGAAACATCTCAAAGAAATACACGAAGTAATTAGCACACTGCACTTATACGTTCGCGATGACTCGCAAAGACAGTGCCCACTTCCCAAAGCCTCCCTTGTCGATGCCGTCATTCCGCTGGGCCTCTGAGTTTGGTGTTTTCAGCTGCTCGAATGCTGTTATTCTTTGCCATGTTGAGCAATGTACTCAGCTGGCAATCAACAAGGCCCCATTACAAGCAAGACGAATGTAGATTGCTGCAAGGTGCGTCGGTATAATTCAGGGGTGGGGAACGTCCGGCCCACGGGCCGTATGAGGCCCGCACAATCATTTGGGTCTGGCCCTACCAAGGCAACCGCAGGCTGGACTCGAAATTCAATTAATCTAGGAGCAAATCTGGAAAAGTAGTTGCGACTAGCAGCAACATCATCAATACCAGCTAACATCACACGCCTCGCCAAAGAGAAGCAGTTCCAGCCATCGCATTATGGGTTGAGTTAATTAAATGTTTGACCAAATATAACAGGATAATTTTGAAGTTGATCATTTTGTATGGCCCCCGAATTACGTAATATATATCTAAATGGCCCTGGCATAAAAAATGTTCCCTGCCCATGGATTAAAGAACGGACCAATGGCGTTGAGTATAAACGCAGAGTTATCCCCCAATGCGAGATGTGTATTCGTGTCGTTCCGCGCGGTGTCCGCATGGAAGCTTCTCTCCACGTGCCGCTCGCTTCTACAGCATCTAAATGCGCAGCAAGCTTTTGGTTCTCGCTCCGTTACGTTTTAGTTTGCTGATTGTTTACCCGACGGTCAAGATACTCGGCCGCTGAATGTCGAGGGCACTTCAAACGTGTCCCTTGCACGTGCGTCATGAGTTAAACAGTTTGTACCTCAATGTCGAACACAATTACTGCGTCGCTTTCTTGCGTTGCCCGCAAGTGTTTTAATTATACAATGTGCAATTAAACCCAAATGCCATACACTTGGCCTCTTCTTTGAGGATTACATGCAAAAATAATGAAGACAAATTGTGGGCTACGATTGTGGTATTTCACGCGGACAAGTCGTATCGCTTCGTCCGCTGACGATCGCCCGCAGACTCCTTGAACGCGCTGACCTTTGGCACGCTATTAAGTTCACGTTCAAGGAAAGGAAATCTGCGAGTAAAACTTGATTAGAAGCTTTCGTTACTGCAGGAATTACTCTTTGGTTCTTTCGGTAAAGTCACGTAGAAAGAAAATAAATTAAATAATATAGTACGACGTTTCGATTGCAACACAAGCAACCGTCATCAGATTGAACTAAATTTGAGAGAGAGACAAAACACAGACACGGAGACACACACCGACAGACACACAAGCAGAGAGAGACAACACAGAAACACACACAGAGAGAGACACACATACACACACAGAGAGAGACAAAACAGAGACATAGAGGGAGACACAACATAGACACAGACAGACACACAAGCAGAGAGAGACAACACAGAGACACACAGAGAGAGAGACACACAGAGACACACAAAGAGAGACAACACAGAGACACACAGAGAGAGACACACAACATAGACACACCGACACACAGGCAGAGAGAGACAACACAGAGACACACACAGAGAGAGACACAGACACAGACACACACACAGACAGACACACAAGCAGAGAGAGACAACACAGAGACACACAGAGAGACAACACAGAGACACACACACAGAGAGACACACAACATAGACACACAGAGACCCAATGCCTCTGTGTCGAGGTATCTGCGAGTAATTAACACTCTACGATGGTAAGATCACGGTCACAGGGAAAGGTTCACGCCGCTCGTATTCATGTTTCATTGATAAGAAATGATCAGCCTCCGCCTACTCTCTCACGTGGTCCATCGTGTCTCTTTGAGATATGTCAGCTGTTCGTCTCGGCGAAGTGGCGTCCTTCAGTGCCCATCACTCGCAACGATCGTCTGAACCGACTGCAATTCAAGCACCGTTTGTACAATCATTGCTTGGTTTGCCCTGAACTTATTCGGTTTTTTTTCTTAATTCTTGTCTCCATTTGAAGGTTCTTAACTTTGTTGGCTGAATTTAATTGCGTGTATATGTTAATGTGATCTGCCTTGGCTATCTCGATTATTGGATATCGCAGGTATTGGAAAACGAAGTCTCGAGTTTAGTGCACCTCTTGATAATCGCTGTCAGTGTCAGAAACAGCATTAAATGGAGATCAAATGTAAGCCTGTAACAACCAATAACGATTTTGGGACTATTGGCTGGTCCACCCTGATTTTTTTCAATGAACTTTTTATTTAAATTAAGTATAAATAAAAATTCTACAGCATTCCTATTTCCCCATGGGGCTGTGCTTAGTTGTGTTGTGTAAAATAATGTTAGTCTTCCATCGGTTCATGGAAAAATATTTGCACCTGTGGCATGCTCTTGAACACCGCTGCCACTGTGTTTTGGCTGCAAAATGACACATGCATCATGACTTCTTCTCGCCGAGCTTATAATGTAAAACAGCTACATCCCGACATCATTAGCAGTACAAACTTGCTGTTCTATTTATTTTTATTTATTTAATAAACTTATCAGACTGGCGTCAACGTGAATAATCCAATTGCGGTTGGGTTTGCCAAGTGTTAAACCTGCCAAATGAGGTATGGGTGTGTGGCCACATTAGCAAACGGTTTATTATTTCCATCCATCTACAACTTTGAAGTTGTTTTGACATTTCACTTTTTTGTGGGCTTAGGGTGGTCTGATTAATCAGATAAAACTACTTTTAATCAAACTAAATATTTACACCGTGCATGCTAAAATATGGAGACATTATTCAAATGAACTGCAGTGTCAAGAGTACAAGCAACGCTACATTATGAATTGTCCCCATATTGAATAGACCCTTTGTTTAATATTGTAACCCTATTAAGTATAATAACAATGCCAATTAATCATCTAGAAATGCTTCAACGAGTGGCAATAATGTGTCAAGAGAGTCCTGCATTGGGGTGCTTAGCAAATATCATGAATAAGAGTGAATATGGGCAAGAAAATCAAAGTGCACAGAAAAAAAACAACTCCTGTGTAATGAAGAGGATCGCTCAACACTCAAATCTCTCACTGAGTGGTGTGTGTCTGCAGTGCACTTTTATCTGGAGCTGCATGTGGCAGTAGCTCTCTTATGTCATGCTAAGATAAAGCAGAAATGTATTCTCTAACTTATATTCACTGTAATATACTGTGTGTAGTATATAACTTCTCATAATCAGAGTAATATATCTGTGCATTCAAAATGCTAGTGTGTGTTCGGGGAGTGGAAGTGTTTGAAAATTGATGTGTCCATCTTGCAAGGAATTCGTTCTTGCATAAACGTCATCCTGTCAGCGGATTAGACTGCCCATGTGAAATGAGAAGGTAAATGCATTACATAAATCATTCTCCAGTACTTGGGGTAAAGTATTTGGTTCTGTTTAGCTTTAAAATAATTTTCATCAAGCGAGCTCATATAAATAAGCATGCAAATCTATACTAAACTATATACTTTAAAAACGTAATCCAATACATCTTTTAACTTTAAATAATTTCCGCTGTAAATTGTATTTTGTAAAAGCAAATGTAATGTTTGCTATGTAGAAGTATTCAATCTTGTTTTATTTTAAAGCACTGATTACTTAACCACATTTTTTCACAAGAACAATCATATGTGGTGTTGTGGTAATTTCCAAATGGTGAATGAAGGATTGTACCTGTCATTCTGCCAAACTAATTTTCATAATTTCCCTCCAACAATAACGTTGCGAGGAACTTGTAGCAACACGTAATAAAAAAAATGTGAGTTGTTACGTGGTTTCTAAACTCATTAATATAAGTTGTTGCAAACGAAAACAAAATCTTAGGGGGATAAAACAAACAAGAGTTTAACCTCGCTGCTTAAACAGTGTAATATTATACTCATTTAAAATTCCAAGGAAGCAAAATTTCACCTCAATTTATGCGCGCCCCTGTTTCTACAGTACGGACTTCGAGCCCACGCCCGATGTGCCCTGCACATTAGATTCCTGTGCACCTTTGTCATCTCTTCAAGCTAGTCACGTACCACGTTTGCTATGCAGTAACTGCCCCAGCAAAATGGGAAAATGTCCAGCAACGGACACATTTTGAGCAAACGCCATGGACAGAGATCAAAGCGGGGATAGTTTTCAGAAATATTTCAGGGCACAGGTGGGTTTTTGTTGCTGTTGCTGTTGCAAGCATAAACACATTTTTCTTTTAAAGTCGCTCAACGGTGTAGCTGAATTTGAGGAACAAAAGAAAGTAAGAATTGTTAATCGTAGAGCCGATGTAACAATTTCTCATGCAAGGTACTCGAACGGCACGAAGCGGTATCGGCTTTTGAGCACCATCCTGATCGGCGTACCTCGGTAGGAGAGCTTCAGGCGGGGTAGAGTCTGTCGCCACGTGTCACCGGGAGCAGGGAATTGCAAACAGACGAGCAGTGTGACGACGACGATGGTGGTGGTGGGTGCCCTTCCAAAGGACCGTGTTCCGATGGGGAGGTACCCTCTGCCTGTGTGTCTCATGGCTCCGCTTGCTCCACCGCCCGCACACCAAGCTGCTCCAGAGTGTCAGTGAATATGCAAAAGAACAACAGAATAAATGGTTTAGTAGTGTATAAGAGGACATACATTTTATTTCGGTAAAGTCACGTGACTTTACCCAAAGAACCAAGAAGATGAATCCCTGCAGTCACGAAAGGACATACATTGTTGTATCGGCACGAATATCCATTGAATTCATGGATGCGCGTGCGTTAGACTTTGTGTGTAATATATAGTGCATATAGGAATAAAAAAAACTCTTTTCAAATGAGCATTGAGGCAGTGCTCATCTTCTGTTTACATCTCTGAGTCAGTGGTGAAAATTCACATTCCCATGACGGGGGCGAGTCTGTCCATAGGATAACTGCTGTTAACTTCCCCTCAAAGTAGTACTCGTATAAGGAATGTTTATAATGACTTAATCTAAAAGACTGCAAGCCTCTTTTAATTTTCTTTTTAACAGTCCTAGAGCCAGGGGTGGATATTTCCACTTCTTTTGTGGTGGTGGCAAGTCCATCCACATTTACTTTAATTGACACTGGGGGGTTGAAGGGATGCTTTGGAAACTGAATGTAAGAGCATTTTGAGCATATCTGTTTCACACACTACATCTATATGATTTTGGAAATTTTCAGTTAATGTGTGGTCCTATTAGTATGTGGGTACAAAGTGCCGTTAGCTATGGATAGAAATGTGTATGTCCACATCAGTACATAGGTTGAATATGGTCCTCAGCCAAGAATAAGAACTGTCACTTTGAAATGCCAATTATGTTGATCTAGTAAATACCCCCTTTCAAGCCAAGCAATTGTTCAAAAGTTGGTATTTTTTATCTATGTTTTGTTTACTTTTACGTTAATTAAGTGCACTTCAATGCATTTTTAGAAAACATGCCAAAGGCTGTTTCAACAGAGAAATACTTTGAGGTTTTGTTTCTGTTTATTTTTTAAACATGCATGTGTGTGAACAATAAATCATCTGAGCCCACCGTTAACTCTTTGTAAACCCTTCGCTCTCAGATGTATAATCCACCGCAGAGATAAGGTCAATTTTAATCCGTGGTTGTGTTTGTATTGCACTTCAGTAGTTATATAAAAAAGCTCCATGCTGTAATTTTTTTTTTTACAATTAAACGACAATTTACGTTGAAGATCACATACCTCTATACTTGTTATTGCAAGCTACTTCTTGGAAAAAAATAGGAAACGAACAACAATTTTCATTCTGGCATGGATGTTCACCCCTTGCACCAGAAGACAATTGAATAATCTCTGGAAGAAATTGAAAGATTTTCCATAAGTTGTGTACATCCCAATTTATAAACAAAATGTGGCATGTTGTCGTTGAACATACCAGCCCATCACAACAAATGCATATCTATAGGAACAGCCTCTCCTTGCAGTACAATTACATTGACCTTAGAGCTAAGTGGAAACAGATTCCGGCACACTGGGATGAAAGCTCATGAAACCTTACAATAAAAAGAGGGACATTTTTTTGTTTTATATTCGCGGACCAAAGCTGGACTAACATCATTGTTTAGAGCGAGCAGCTGGACTGTAGCTAGGCTGTACAAATCCCCCCGTTATTAATCCTGGCCAGACTCCCAAGCTGCCCGGAGAGCGGCAGTTGCTGTGGCCCTGGGCGTTTTCGTGATCGCGCCGAGGGTTTTTTTGCAAGCTACGCCAAAAGGCAAACATTTAGTGGCTGAGCGGGCGGGCCCCACTCTCAACTGAAACATCAACCCACTGCTCTTCATCGCTCTCTCCATCGCTCTCTACTTTCTCTGGACCGCCCTGGCTGAGCATCGTTGAGCTGCTGCTCAGGATCAGTAGGGATGTATGACAGTGGTGCCAACTGCTGTTTTACATATATATGCGGTATCGTGCGATTAATTTTTAGTTTTCAGGCCTTTGTGAATCCACTGATGGAAGAAAGTCTTCCCCCACATCGTGTCGGCCAGAGTGGTGCTATGACCATACTTCACCACGCTGGTCAGTGCAGGTTGAAAAGGGGGCAGTGGAGTTCGGACAGGTGCTGAGATTACTCGCCACTGATGTTGGCTGTGGCCAGGGAATCAAGGTGAGGCTGCCAGGTTCATATTACAGTGTGCAAACCACCGTGCCACTGCTCCACCCAGGTATAATTTCATGATGTGTCTTTTTTTATTATATACATGACATAAACTATGTATATTGCCATTACTAAATGTGTTTGATTACACCTTTGTAAAATTAGTAGAGAGGATGAGTCAACGCTTGATATGCTACGATTTCCATACTCTGAAAGGGTATTTCGCATGAAACGTGAGGGAGGATAACAATATTTTGCATGTAATCGATTACAAAATAGCAAAAAGTATGGGTGACCATGAAAGTGAAGCTTGCAACAAAAAGTTTGATTCGTTAAATCTGTAGCAGTGTACCTTATGCAAGGTAAGCTTTTCGATAAAGTATCAGAACAAGTAAACCCGTAAAAACAAAGTTTTTCACTCTAAATCCTTTATATGCGTGGCGGCTAGAGTTCTCTCGTCCTCTGGCTTGAGATGGCAGCAATCTATGGGTCAGATGATTGTCTGCCAGTATTAAGCAATTGGTAATTAAATATTTAATTAGTTTTCCCTAAACAGTGTAAAATTTTGGAAAAAAAATTTCACGAAAATTAATTGTCACACACAACAGGTCTGTGTGGAAAATGTCAGGTCGATTGGATCACGGGAAGTGGGTTAAAAAACGAGCGAAAGATTTGCACGGTCCTAAGCAAGCAAGCGAACTTAATATAAAGGATTTAAAAATATATTCGCCTGTGGAGGACGCGGGGATCGATCCCGCGACCTTTGGCATGGGAAGCGAGGGCGCTACTAACTGCGCTACTCCACCACGGCCTGTGGAGGGGTTACGCTCTGGGCTCTTGCACTGTGATGTTCAGCCAAAGCCATGAATGCGTTCTATTTGAATATATGTAAAATACATTTTTTTTTTGCCTAAAAAGTGTAAAATTTTGGGAATTTTTTTTCACGAACAATAATTGTCTGGCACAACGAGTCTGTGTGGAAAATGTCAGCTCGATTGGATCACGGGAAGTGGGTTAAAAAACGACCGAAAGATTTGCACGGTCCTAAGCAAACAAGCAAGCACGCGAACTTAATATAAAGGATTTAAAAAGGCAGTACATTGAATGGTATACACATCGCAAGCCCAGTACGTGTATTCATTGTCAAAACAAAAGCAAATAACATCATTATAATTGTTCTATATCGACTGATAACTTAGAAAAAATATACCGTTTGGATAACGTTAAACAGCAGATTCCATTGCCCAGGTGTCATGGAAATATGAATCCACAGTTTCCCAATGGCAAACTTCAACTCAGTGGTAAACACAAACTCTCAGTCTGGCAGTGTATTAACTTCTGACTATACTTTCCTCTCCTCAACATCCCTCTGCCACTTAATGTTATGCACACCATAAATAATGAAAACATTAAAAATATACTCAAATGTATTATTTATATGGGCTTCTGAACATCAATTGTTCCATAAACACGAGGTAAATATGATTAAAACAAAACTCACGACCAACAAGTTGTCTAAAAAATGCAGACAATTGTTGGAGGAACAAAACTGGAAAATGTATCCTGGAATACTTAGAGAAATGTTTTAAGAGGGACCGGAATCCAGGTGGAGAAAAAAGGCAAAGCAAAAGCAGGTTGAAGTGCTTTTGTAAATTCTAGATTTGAAGCTTTTGTAAAACTGAACTTGATAAAAAAAATATTAACATCTCATTATGCCTCTGGCAGATGTTTTTTTGTCTATAACATTGTATATTGTCTGCTATGATATGTGGATTAGAAACATGGATAAAGATGAAGAATTTGGAAAAAATGAAGCTGAAAACGATGCAAATAACCATGGGAAGATGCGTGCTTGGAATCACACGCAGAAAGAAGACAACTGGGCATGGATTGGAGGACATCTGTACTCGTCGAAATACTTTGAATGGCTATGTGGAATATATGGAGATTCTTTGTTGGTGTATGCATGTGTGTGTGAGCAAATCTGTAGCTGACAAATGGCCTTTTGGGGGACTTAAACCATTAACCGTAATGAGCTTTTTTCTAGTCATTACCAAGTTGAGTTTTAAACGAGAACATGATTAAAATACCTCTTAGTTCACCACTCTAATCCAAAAATGCTACATTTCATTTTATTTCATGAAAACACCCTTTTGTGGTTTTGTGGATTTTTAAATACGCCCCAGTCAGTCTCCCCTCTTGTGGTGTTCCCAGCTTACAAAGTAATGCTCATGGCACATCTTGCTCAGTGGGCATTCTCACTCTCCAGACCACCCATGTGCTTTCTGATAGAGGTCATTGTCATTGTTGCAAACTGCCTTTTTTACATTTAAAGCGGTGAAGGGAAGACGTGACCTTCAGACCCAGACTAGCGAATCTCAACCCTATTCCTGAGCCAAACCGATAAAAAAATGCCCCCATATGGGGAATATCGGTATGTAAGTGCAAGCAAGTTGACATATAAATACAGCTGAGCCCGACTGAAAATGCGGTGAACCTTACTGCTGAGGTTAGCATAAACGTCCCATAGATGTTGCGCAAATTTCGTGAAAATGGGTCCTATATTATAACCATTTCCGATAACCCCCCTGTGATACAAAAAAAAACTAAAAAGTGGATTAGGGTTGAGAAAAGTGACATTCAAATGGTTCGTGTGCATGGCACTCCGTATCGTATGTTTGTAGCTAAATTATATCGTGATTTCCCTTTATGTGATCTAAATGCACAGTGAAAAACTTGCCTGGAGTCATCCTGGTTTAAATCCTCCTCGATGCAAAGCAAACATTGGGTACCATGGCATACAGCCATGTTGATTTGCCTGCACATAATGTCAGCTTTGTTAGTCATCTTTTCAAAATAAATTTCTCAAGAATTATACTGTGCTCTCCCCTTCTTGGAATGAATATATGTATATATATTTCTGTATTTTATTTTGCAAGTATTTATTTACTGAAATCTGATACTAAGGTATTTGTGTATTTAGTATAGGACCAGTTCCAACTTATACATGGTGAAGTGTTTTTCTGGCATTCGTGTTTGTTTGTGTGTAACATCCACTTTATAATACAGTGAGTATTATAAAGTGGATTTTTAAAATATACTGACAATTAACTTTTTAATGTATATATTAAATGATATTGATTTAACGATATAAACACATTCCATTTTCTTCTTAATTTTTTTTTCATAAATGTCATGGACTTGTTTGAATTATCTTCTTTTTTCCCCAATCCAAAAGGCACACTTTCATATCCTGGCTTCATAACTTAGAATCAATCCTCCGTACAATTGCCTAACCCTGACAGATGGAATTATATAAATATAACTTTAAAAGTGGGAACAAATGATGCTGTTACTGGCGCGATAGGGTGGCACCAAAAACACTCTATTCCGAATTCAATCGTTGCACAATATTATTATTTTGCTAGTTATTCGCAAAACTGAGTCTAATTATTTTTGTATTCGGGTCCTGGAAAGTTTTCGCAGCAAGGGCGGGTGGAGCGGATGATTCCTATGTATGATCGCAATCAATTAATCCGCGAGTAATACCAAAAAAATGTGATAAACTTCTGGACCATGACGCTGACACACAATGGCCTCCTCTTACGAATGACGGCACGTGATCTTTAACACCGCAGCAATGATCAGGGCGGCCGCTGGATTTGAACAGTGATCCTCTGCAACGAGCAGTTAACGCACGGCCCAAGTAACCATGTGCTTGAGGTGACAAAAAACATTACATGCGTACGATTCTGACCGCCCAGTAATAATTCGGCTTCTCGTTCCGAGCCACAAAACCAAGTGTGTACCCTCAGCAGCGCTGACCACAATTTCTCTCTTTAACGATTTAGCACTATGGTGTCCGTCATTCTTAGCCTGAGATTCAAGCTTTTCAACAAGTGATTTAATTTTTTCACGCAGTGTTGGCACACGGCACTGATGCATGACGCAGGGGTGGTTGAAGAATTCCAGATGTGGAATTTGTGGGATTGGCATGATTTGCCATCGCCACGGTTGATGCGAGTGCACCGAATGCCTCACATTCCCGGCTCATCTGACAACCGCTGCCATTTGTTCGTAATTCAAACGGTGCCAGCATGTGCCTCAATCAAGAGAGAATGCTGTCACAATAACACATGGTTTGAATTGTTGTAAAATTATATGTTAAGTTACAATGGACATACACTGTCTGATCTGAATGAGGGTTTATTTGCATAATGGTCCATATAATTGAAGCCCGAATAAAACAAAAGCGTGTAAAAGGGGAAATATAAGTTGTTAAATGAATAAATAAATTTAGTAATTTAGCTCCCCAGTCAACATTTAGTCTTTTCAAAACATTTGTAAAACAAATCAATGGACTTTCAAACTCCATAATTGCCTGAAGATGATAATACCGCAAATAAATAATGATGGTACATTAATATAGATAATTGGAATCATTAAAAGTTATAATTATATTACTTCCGCTGAAGCGTTTTCTAAATATTACAATTCCAGAGACCAAAAATTTAAATATTAACCAGCAAGCTGAATAATTGAAACAAATCAACACTTAAAAATGTAAGGGGTCTGCTGAAAATGTAAGGCTGTATATTTGTTCAAGCTTTAGGCAGTAGAGCTGTGGTTATTGGTCTAATTAAAACCTATACAATTATCTCATTGACACTGAACAGCGTGCCAATTATATCAAGCACGTGGAGGTCACCAGTTACCTCAATATTTATTCTTGCACTTTGCTGCATGATTTTGATGTCTTGAATGGCTGTAATAAAACCCTTCAACTGAGGAAACAGACTGAGTTGTGGAAGTGTGAATTCTTAAGGGTGTTATTATATGGGGCGTAAAGCCAAGTTTTGCAACTAAAGTGGTCCACTATGAGCACGCTCAGGTCATCCTTTATGCATTCACTGAGACTAAATATACACTCAAAGCCTCCAAGACACATTGCTGTAATGTGTGATGATACATTGTAATATAGAGAATTCAGCAGTTCATTAGAGGTTTGCCCTTTCAAAATATATGTGCATGTATTGTATGTTTAAGCTGTGGAAACGTTTATTCTGATACTGGAACACTTGTCTTCTTATACATAGGTGTTTTCTTTAATTTCTCTTAATGAACAGGTTGACTGGCTTGTCAACCCCTACTGCGTCATGCAGAATAGATTGACATACAGTGCCTACTTAAATTTGAAGGCTACTTTAGCACAACTGAGTTTGTGGCTGACACATTGTAGTCCATGCACATGCTGATGGACCAATCACCTGAAACGCACAGTGTCTCGTCCAATTTTGGAAGAGGGGAGTGCAGAATTTATTTACTTTTATTGATCTATTTATCGAGGAAAGCCACATCTAATCCAATGACTCTTTTTTCAGGAAAGTTCTGCATTGGGTTTTAATTTTAAGATGTTTTCAGCTAATTAATGCGTTTACTATACAAGTGAGAGGACAAAAGGAGCACTCGGAGAAAACCCACGCATGCGAGAGGGGGCAACACTTTATCCCCGTGCAGATGTAAACGGATGGCGATTAGTCCATTTGCCGGTCTGCCTTCTCCTGGGAGCCAGGGTATGGCACCTTGACGCCCATTGTAAGGGAGTTTCACAACATCTGTGCTATCCACAAACCCTCGCTGCCTCCACAGTGCTGGATTACAGGCCATGTGTATAGCTGCCGCTGCCCGGTTAAAACATTAAAACATTGATGTACTGGATTTATGTGTTCCCATATCTGTGCTTTCAACATTCAACAATGTGCACTGACCAGCATGGTGAAGCATGGTCAAATAACTTTTATGGCCCTGATGGTGTGGGGAGGCCTTCATCCAGCAGTATATTGATATATCCATGTGAACACATTAAAATTATGTATACGTTTTATATTTCCTACACGGCTGATTCACTGAATGTGAATTTAATTTAGAACTTAAGCTGAGCATAATTGTCACGGTGTGTTGTATGTCACAAACTTTCCCTGTGGAAGAAACTAACTTTTAGCTTGTATGTGCCGGTAGGCATCTGATCAACCAAACCAAATACGGTTCAGTTACAACGTTGTGGATAGACTTTCGCAATGTGGCAAATAACAACGATGTTGAGTTTAGACATATATATGGCAATTGCGGAATGTTATTATGATCAACTTTTAAATGTTTTATTTGTATACGTATTATCCAAAGTTATACTTCAATAAGTTTAGTGCAAATCCTAATACTCTATAGTAGCCCTAAAAAACGAATTAAAAGCAATACAACCTATTAAACGTTCATACATTGGGTGAGATTGTATTATATATCGATCTGCTTTCAGTCACCAAAAAATATGATTTGCAGTACATCAAAAAGCAATACCGGAGCACTTACTTGACTTGAGAATTGTCACCGTAAGTGGCAGATGAGTCTTCGGTCTCTTCTGGTTTATTTAATCCGTTCGATTTCAACTTCTTACAGGAATTACCTTCCAAAAATGTTCACGCACACATGCTTGATTTAGTCTTTTTTCCCCCGTCCGTGGTTCACACGTTCGTTTAGAGTAAAGCGTTGCTGGTGCTCCAGCTGCCCGTACACAGCAAGCTTGTACTTGGGAATTGAGAGGGCGTGTGGGGTGGGTCTGATTACCAGACCCCAGCAGTTGGTTTTGGACGTGAGTGAGAGAGAGAGAGAGGCGTGGGGGGGGATGTAGGACGACGAAAGGAAGAGGCAAGGAAGGTGAAGCCATGGGGTTGCGGTCCCGGGTGGGGTGTGGCGACACACAGAGAGGTTGGCCTTCCTGGGATTTTGGTGGTGTGGCTCTTCTTGCGGTTTGGTTTACATTCTGTAATAGCAATGCCTGCCGCAGCCAGAGGGCTTGGGATGCTCAAACAAAACTCGTGTGGCGTTGTAATGCACGCGGACAAGTTGGCACAAAGGCGTGCTCGTTGGCTGAGAACCCAGACTTGTCCGCAAAGTGTGGTTGCAATAGCTGGGAGTGGCCAATGTAAATATATATATGTGATAATATATAAAAAAAATACAGCCTCGGCGCTCGCAAACATTCAGAGAAGCAACAAGGGGGAACGTCTATTCAGAAATAATATCATAATGATGTAAATGGATACAGGTATTAAAATACAAATCCCATGGATGTTTTATTTGTAATGTTGTTATTTTTACTGGACAACACAACAAGCTGCATCTTCTTCACTAATTAAACGTGTTCACTGTAAGGTACTGGTTACGGTTGTTCAAATAAATTTTTTTTCCTGCAATCAAATCACCCTAAATGTACCCTGATCTTATTAGACCTGGCATGGAGGCTGAGCAGACTTGGGCCTCGTTAGTACCACACTTGGATCGGTCACCACCGGGGCTGACCAGGGTGATATGGTTTCCATAATGCAGGTTTAAATATATAAATGTGTCGTTAAAACCCGCCACCACCCGACACAGCCAACTAGTAAGGGTTGTCACGTAAACAGAACGTGGCCAATTCGTCACTAGTACGGCACACCGGTTGTGTTGGAGAGCCAAGCCACAACATTTACAATCTGAGTACGACGTTTCGCCAGTAATTACAACTAGCTTCATCAGGCGACAGACAGATTTGTGGAGAAGTCGAACTATTTCGTTCCTTATATAGAGGCGTAGATGTGGTGACCACACTTCTGCGCTCTTACGCAAAGCGTGTGGGGGGGAATTACTGAGTCAACGTACATTATGCATGTGCATCATCCTTCCTGTCTATTGTGTGTAATAAAATAGCCGTACCAACGGTAATCCCTATAGAATTATGCTGCCCCCTATAGACATTCATAAAATTAAGTATTATTTGATTATTTACTTCCACCAGCACTAAGGCGGTAGCTATCCGAACGGTTAAAATTATTTTATTTATTTCAATTTCGATAGATTCTCTAATTGATCCTCATGGCAGTACCCCGGGGTACCAAATAATACTAAATGGCCTAGGCAATTACATATTTTATTTCTGGGACACTTTTTTTCCAGGGGTGTACTTCACTCCGCGACTGGGGTACCAATCAATCCGCAATCAGTGCTACTCCGCGATGTTGAAACACAGCGAGGATTTTTGCACTGAAACCCTGAACGTACATATGCACTATAGTGGTGCATCGTGTACAGCTCGTCGAGATGAGTCGATTGCGGCATCGCCGACCATCAACAGACTAGAAATGACTGCGTCACGGACGTTATGCGAGTGCTGGGGTACTATGGTACCCCGAGGTACCGCCATGAGGTTCATTTAGTCTTGGCCAGTAGAAGCAAGTTTTGCACAGAACTTCAACATTATCAAAATAAATTGATTGTTGGCACGCATGTTCTGCTACTGCTGACAGTTGTATTTGGGATAATGTTATATTTATCTGATGTTCTTTTAGTCTCCTGCTTATAATTCGTCCTGTTTGCCCAACATAACATTTCCCAAACGTGAAGTTAATCCTGTAAACACCTTCTGTTGATAGCATCGGTAATACATCTTTTGTACCAGATATTAATTTCTGTATTTTATGTACCATGCCAAATCTGACTCGGATGTTTTGTTTTCCAAACATCTGGCTAGTTTACCAGCAACTTCCGCAATGTATGGTATTTTGATCGTTTTCATTATTTGGGCAGTTTCAATGCTCGTGTTACTTGATTTGGTTTTAGCATTCAATGCCCTGTTGATTTGTGCATCATTGTAACCGTTCATTTGCAGCACTTCTCAGACTGTCACCATCTGCCACTTTCTTAGCCCGATGAACGAGCGTTCTTGATAAGAGAGCAGATTTCCGTGCGGGGTGTTTCAGAGTCGCACCAACTCAACATGGCTCCGCCATCTCCCTCGTGTTTAGTTTTTTGCCCGGTTACTCCAGTTTGCCCTGACATTCGGAATCTATTAATGCTATTGACTAAATACATGCGGGGGCTCTTCAGAAATAAGTCATCACTCCCTGAGGTGTTCCTTGGAAAAATATTTAATATTTTTTCTTATGAATTCATATATTCTCTCTTTCACGATTTCAGGCCAGCATGCAAGAGTAGGCCAAATTAACATCAGAAGAGGCTCTCTGGAGGTCCGTCTAGTGGAGGCCCTTCTGCCAGCAGTGGCGTGAGCAAGCAATTGGAGAGCTGCACCTTTACCTGTTCACACGTCTGATATGTATTGTAAAAAAAAGAACATGGACCTATATTGAAAGTGTGAATTCTATTCATGCATTTGAAACGGCATGAGAGAGAGAGTGTTCTTGATAATCTTTTAAGCTTCTCTCAACCTGCTCCAATCGCATTGACTTGCAAATGTGATTGACTGTCAAGAAGAGCTGTGCCTTTACATACACACGGTATGTACAATTATATTTGGGTTAGGTGGGATTTCTGACTCCTCTGGCCCACAGTGTTGTATATGGTAGCAAACACTTGCGATGAAACCACGGGAGTGAAATGGAAATTGCAATCTAGGCTTGCATATGTATGTGATAGCAGAGTACGTGTTTGAAACCTGAGTGTGAAGTGCTAATAGGCCATTAACGAACGCAGGTGAAAGATTTTGCCAGCCAAAAGAGCATGTATTCTAAATTGCAGTTTTCTCTTTCAGAATGAAATCAATGCAACATTGATGCCTGATTAATTGGAAAAGTATTCCTATTATATATCCATTCTAATAATTTGTATTTATGTATGTATGTTGAACTTCTTTTGTACCACACGTGGCCAACCGTGTTGATCGGAGGTTAGTGATAATAAAAAGATAACATCTGGACAATGTATGGGGATGCAAACATTACACCTTCACGAACTGTTTCAAGCAACTAACAATTCCTGATCTTTTACATGCATTCTTTTGTTTTTTTTCGAAATTTGGCAATAAGGCTGTTGACGTTATGTTTGTGAATCTCCACAGCCGAAATGAACGTCTTCTTAGTCAGAGCAAGGCCAGCGACTCCCTGCTACAGCAAGTATGTGGCTCTACTGTATACTACGTGTCTAATTATTTATTATTATTTCACTTTAACTTGTTAAAAACATTTTCCTGTCTGTCAATATATAATAAGTATAACCAGTAAAAACAAAGTTTTTCACTATAAATCCTTTATATGCGTGGCGGCTAGAGTCCTCTCGTCCTCTGGCTTGAGATGGCTGCCACCTATGGGTCAGATGATTGTCTGCCAGTATTAAGCAATTGGTAATTAAATATTTAATTTGTTTTCCCTAAACAGTGTAAAATTTAGGAATTTTTTTTTCACGAACATTAATTGTCTCGCACAACGAGTCTGTGTGGAAAATGTCAGCTCGATTGGATCACGGGAAGTGGGTTAAAAAACGACCGGAAGATTTGCACGGTCGTAAGCAAGCAAGCACGCAAGCAAGCAAGCAAGCGAACTTAATATAAAGGATTAAAAAAAAGAAAACATCTAAAAGTAAATATCTTTTAAGTAGCCAATTGTCGTGTGCAGTATTTGCCCTACCTCCTTTAAACCTCCCCCCCCCCCCACCCCACTTGTTGAATGAAGAGATGAGCCTCTTGCCTTTTTCAACCTCCCAGACCGCACTGCAGGAAGGGATAGCGCTTGAGCCAGGAAGGCTGGAGGTAAAACCCTGCAGGTTGAGATGAAAGTACACTCCTCTGCTTATACTCAGCCTCCCCGTCGAGGGATGATTCCTGATGTGTCAAGTTAAATTCCGGGTGAGCAGATGGCAGGATGGATCTTGAAAAGTGTGCGCTCAGAGCCGAAGCTAATCTACCAACAAAAAAGATAGAGTTTGGTATCGAAAAAAACAACTATACAAAACAAATAAAACATGGGTTTTATCCCGAAAGAAAATGGATAATGCACTTCCCGAAAGTGTTAACTTTCCCCGAAGCTGAGCAGTGGAATGATTCGTAAATCGTCCACTTACAAGATCGCTAATGTTGGAGTCTGGATTAAATGTGAAGGCTGTTGCAGCCACATGTCTGCCCATGTGTGCAACCACTCCATACGCTGGGAAGCTAATTGCACACAATTGCCTGAACGACAGTTAATGTCTTAATTGTGAACTCATTCTCTGGCAAAATAGTCTGACGCCCAAATTATCCAACCAGATAGCTCCGATGACCCGAAACGGCTCAGGCGGAACTACGTGCCAAACTGCGTTTTTTTTGTTGCACCAGATGAGCGCGCACACAGAAAAACCGAAGGACAGAATGAGAAACAATAGCAGGTTGTTGCGTGCACCAAACTAGCGTTGCATTCCTGCAACAGGGTTTGGCAGGTTGACACTAACGCACTGCGATTAACCTAGAGGTGCAGTGGTGCACTTGACTGATCAGGTGGCATTAAGGGGTGGGTTAAATTGTCGGTCTTGTGGGTGATCTTTGGCGTGGCCGTATCAAAACAATGGGCGGGACGTGCATCGCAGGGACAAACACACCAAGGGACAGATAGCCGCTGCACCGCAAGCCAAAACATTAGCAAAATGTGTCTGTTTTGTACAAGGCTATGACACTGACAATGTACATCGGAGGACTATTTATTCTTCTCCTAATGGTTAAAATAATGAATGACATCAGTGACATCAATGAGACGACGTTCCCCTGTGTCCTGCAAAATGTGGGTGTTGCTCATTTCCGTTAGTGGGCCTGCGCCAGTCCTTGCGATTCAATGTTTTATTTAATATCCAGCCTCACCAGGACGCAACCACTTTTGACTTCTCACCAAACTCTGGAGCCTCACCA